TGATGTAATTTTCTCGAAGCTGAAGGGAATTGAGTTGCGCACAAGCAAATAATTAACGTTAATAACAGATGGTTGCCACTGAAATGCGATTACTTTGTCATATGCCAGGACCACGTTAAGAAAGGGGCTTTAAACACTGTCTTACCGAGTTCACGGTCGTATTCAACCGCTCACACGTACGCAACCTCAATTTTCCTCATGCTAGAATTGCTAACTGTTTGTTTAAAATTTTCAGCTGCTTCATCGGCTATCTTTGATTGGAAATAAGTATTTCACTCTCGATGAAGGAAAACTAAGGTATTTTCTTCATAATTAAAATTATCACATTTTTTCTATGGCCTTCAACTACTCAGATCAGTCAGCTAAAATGGCTTAAAGCTTAAAAGCAACAGCAAAGACACAGTACATTTTGCTTCAGTAATGTTTTGTATCAGTGGTGTTGCACGATTTTGGCTTTCAAGCTAGAAAAAACATCCATTTAAGAATGGATAGATAAAGAAAATTGTATTTTGTTTAAAGAGTGCTTATTATAACTTCCTGAGTAGACCATCAACCCAGTAACTTTCCGTTTTCCATAAACAGGCTAAATTTTGATCTCCAAATAATTTGCAAGAAACTGCTAAAATGTAACGTAAAAAAGGTTCCTGTTCGTTATAAAACTTCTTTGCTAGTGCGAGAACTGTGTATAAAACGGGGGGACTTGAATGTTGTTGCCCTAGATTTATGTTGGAGCCAAATAGAAGTATGATTCACTCCTTTGCTTGTTTGATTTTTTGAGAGTTCTCATCTAACCTATCATTCGAATGAAAAGATGACCGCAGAAAGCAATTTAAACTGACCGAGTTGCATCAAAATTTTCGAGAAAGCCATTCCACGCATAGTCGTTTTTGTGTTTGGCGGAACACATTTTCGGAATTCGAAATGTCTGAACTTTCTGTTAGGAATTAATTTTTGTGATTTTCTGATCAAGTAGCTAAACATTATGATGGAAAGATAATTTATATTTTCAAATTTTTGAACAGAGGAGATATATAACTCGATAGAAGGAGATCTCGATTAAGTTAAAATTCGAAGTATACGAATGACCACTTTATCCATTTGAAGAGTTTTCATTCAACTGAAGGTGTTAAATTATTGCTGCGTGTGATTTTGCGGGACCTTTCTTATTTTGCGGGGAGTGATTTTTGCCGATGAAGGACAATCTGGAGAATCTGTAAACACTAAAATCTACAAGGCACAATTCATGCGATTTATCCGTGGACTTCTGAATAGAAGAAAAAGCTTTAAAGTTTAGACACAATGAGTTGACCAAGCAACCTATGCGTTGAGCGGTGTCGGGTCTATCATGTTTCCGACTTTTCAAGCAGGTGGAGAGGTGATCATAACCAAAACGTTATGTTTATTGTCTCGTCAAGAACAAGCAAACACAAATGACAATTTTATGGCGATAAATAACATGCTAATGATCCTAAAGAAACGGGTTCAGATCATTGTTTATTTATTTATCGCGAGCTAAAAATCTGAATTATTGGCGCGTGTGAAGTGAGCCACAAACACGTGTTGGTTCGTCGCTTGAACAATATAATGTTCAATTATCACTTTCCTGGTAAAAGTAACAAGTTGTTTGTGGCCACTTAAATCCAATTCGAGGAACTGTTGCTTAAATGATTACCGTTTAACTTTTACTGGTGGTTAATTCAGCAAAACGCACGTACATGATTTACAAAATAAGTGATCTTTTTATTTTGGTGCTGTCTTCAACTGAGCAGAGAACTATTCCAATTGTGTTCATTGTTTTGAGTTATCATGTCCTGTATAATTATGCTTGAAGTCGCGTTACTGCTGTTTTTATTTCTTCAGTTTTCTAATCTAGAAATCGTACGGTCGGCACAAAGATTTCAGGCACCGACGAAAGGGAAAATGAAAGCTTTGTTTCTCTTTCAAGTCAATGGAAATTCGTATCGTACGAACAAGATACCACGCCATGTCGCGTCCTTTATTGTGGCAACATGTAACAGTCTAATTGCACCCTTTTGAGTTGAAAGGAGTTGTTTTAAGAGGCCTCACAGCGAAACGTTAGGTCTAGCTTATTGTTCAAAGCAACACTTACTCCACAAAGAATTTTCGAGTTAGCTACAGATACGAAACAGATTAGCATAAAGCCTCGCCAGTGAAGTGTGTTTTGCTGGCCGCATGTTGGTTTTCGTCGTACTTACCGTAGAACAAAGAGGCCTGTCGGCGTTTTCGATCATACATTGTTGCTTTTCAAATTTCCTCAAATTAGATATGATGGCTTGCCCGCTAAGCGGCTTGAGTTTGGCATCTTTTTTCAGTGACACAAAAAAGTGGTACTCGAAAAGCACCAAGGCGGGGCTCCAAATGGGTGGTAACGTCCCGTTATTTACGATTTGAGTATTTTTCTTGTCAATAGAAACACTTGCTATTGAAATTACAAATTAAGCTAAAATTGGCTTTAAATTGAAGAGGTGGTAGTTCTGTAAATGCTAATTAGGCGGGCAGGCGCATGTATCAATTGTTTTTTCCCGCTTATGACCGCGTAAAAAGACGTGTTAAATGACGAATTACCTTTCACAAACCGCTTTATATTGCGGTGCAAAACAACTTCTCGTTTATTCTTAGTCACTGCCCTTCCCAGTGAGCAGCGATTGGCATCCTCAATTATCTGAGAGCGAATATCCTCGAAGATTACCTACGCAGTATTCTGTCAAACTTGAATCGAAGACAGCTAGACAGCGCAGATCGAGAGAAATCTAAACATTAGGAAAAGATAACTTCTGGTAAGTGATTCAAGTTGAACAAATCATGAAGCTGTTGTTTTGGGCTGATTCTTTTTAAAGCACTCGTTAATTTTTCGAAGGGAAGTGTTGCTTGCGAAACTTAATCTCAGTAAGAAATTGAAGTAAGACCAAAGTTTGATGTTCGCATAAGCTTTACCGCAAAGAAAAAGAAATGAATTTGGAAAAATTTGGATTCAATGAACGGGCTAGTTTGGAACCAAATATCTCATGTTTGTCTTTCACTCCCTTTGCTGAGAAGTTTAAGAAAAATACATAATCTTAAAGATAGAGAGATTTTTTTATTGATGAAATTAACGATCCTCCACAGAAATAAACTCTGCCAAGGATGAGTAATGAACAGACTGTCATTGTGAGAAATTCCGCACAGTCACTTGGCGCGCATGAAGAGAATTTTGCCACCGAGAGAAGGACAACCGATCGTCAGGCCCATATTGGACCTGTGATATCCATCAGTGGAGAGCCAAGCGCACCGTAAGTTTCCGATTCCTCTATACAGCCGTCAGTCAGAATAAAATCTTGAGTTGTTAGTTATTGAAAACGAAAGAGAAATCTGTTCACATTGTTCATGAAGGTTCTTTTAGGGGTTAACTAACCGTCATCTCTAAAACGGCAAAAAAAAAAAAACGTTTGGCCATTAGACGTAAAAATTGGTAAATTTTAACTGTTACTTATAAAAAAAATTCAACGGTCAACGTTCTTCTTTTAATTGCGACGGGGAGAAATTACCTGTCTGCCGTAAATGGCCAAAATTTCAATTCTATGACGTAAGAGCCATCGTCCCATTTAGACCCCCTGTTCCTGTTACAGGATCAACTCAAGAACTGAAGGAAAAAAATTCGGTATTCTCTCGTATTATTTGATATTTCAAAGAAGATTGTAGAAAATCGTTGGGTTGAATAATTTATCTTACGAAATTCAAGTATTTGGTCAAGAACATACAGCTCTTGCTGCTGATGCTGTTGCCGTAATGGCGGTATCATTTTTAAACCCAAAGCAATATTCAACAAAAGAAAAAGAGAAAAAGAAAATGTTAGGAAAGAAACAGAAACGCACTTTCGTTTGAAATACAACATGCCTGCTACTGCTTAACTGTTGTACGCAACAACAAAAAATGAAAGCCTTTCTGATCCTCTCAAGCTTTCCGTCACCGATTCTTGCGCTGTAATTTCATTCAGCATTGCCCTGCTCGAACAAACTTTACCTCAGGGTCTGTCTGGTTACTATTGTAGTCGCAAAATCGTAATAGATTTATAGATTTATAGATTTATTGATATAAGTATTTAAAAAATCAGCTGACGATAGAAACAACGTCACTAATAAGTCAGTTTACCTCAAATCGATTTCAGTAATTATCTGATTAACGCCTCCAGGTAAATTAAGTTGCATAATATTTCCTGATGTTTTTGTTTTTTGCATGATGTGGTTTTTCAGATACTAAAAAAAATTTTCTTTATGCTTAAAAAATAATTTTGGGTAATTTTCATGTTCTACTCAATTATTATCATTTAGTCTACATGCAGTTCCTACGTTTTTGCTCCGTCTGACGTGTAATTCAAAACGAAATGCAAAAAAACATTTTATTAGCGCGCCTAAAAAGAGCTAACTAAAGAGAAATTTTTAGGGACAACTGGTTTTTGAACAATTTCAACCAGTCATAGGGGAAATTGGGGAACTTCGATTTATGTGGAGGTTCACAGCAAACAGAAAATAAAGGAATAAAAAAACAAAATCTGGAACTGAATCAATTGATGTCCACTGAAGCGAAGTAACAAGTGGTTTTTATTTGTTATGAGCCTTGTTGCGGATGACGATGACGGTGCCTATATGATAGAATAAATCATTTAAAAAACCTCAGTGAACTAAGCTTAAGCAATATTTTCCAAAGGAGTTTGGTAGACATGTATTTATTGCACAAGTTCTAATGATTAAATTTTTAAATGAGTGTCGAACGTCAATGACTTCACTTGGTGAGTTCTTAACGGCTCCTCGCGATATTTTCCTTTGTTGAGGCTGGCTGTTGTGATATCTTTGGGTTTGGTTATACGACACTTCGGATCGAAAAGCGCTCTGTGTACCTTCGCTCTGTGTGATTATCATGATCTAATAGCCAGAGTGTTGAAGGTATCTCCTTACGTCCCCGCTGAAGTAACTTTGCTTTGTTCCTTTTTCAGTTTGTCCCTGATGCATCATCATTCTGCAATGGAGAGATCTGCGTTCCATCCTGTTCATCATTTCCCCCCAGGCTTTCTCCCTTTCAATCACGGACCCAGCTTGTTCCCTTCCAGTTCCCTGACCTCCCCATACCTTCCCGGACCATCACACGTGGGCATACCTTCTTTCGGACCGGCACCAGTTCTGTGCGGCGGCAGTGTTCCATTTCTACGATCATACCAGCCCTACATGCACAAGTTCTTAAACCCAGCAGTTATTGGTCCTTCTAGAGTGTCTTCCAGAGAGCACTCCAGTGATGATGGCCCAAAGAAATGCCCCGTATGCGGGAAATCTTATGCACGATTGTCTACCTTGAGACTGCATTTGCGCACACATAGTGGAGAGAAGCCATACCAGTGCCTGGTTTGTTTAAAGTCCTTCTCTCAAGCCGCCAATCTAACGGCGCATTTCCGCATTCACTCCGGTGAAAAACCATTCAAGTGTCACATCTGCAACCGTCAGTTCTCGCAGTCTTCGTCTGTGACTACGCACATGCGCACTCACAATGGCGAACGACCCTATCGATGTCGTGTGTGCACAAAGGCGTTCGCGGATAGTTCCACGCTCACTAAACACATGCGCACTCACACCGGTGAGAAACCTTACCAATGCGATGTTTGTTACCAAAGGTTTTCCCAATCGGGGAATCTTAATCGCCACAAGCGAATCCACAACGACGTATAAAAACATTGTACATCTTTAAGACAAAATTTATTGTGATTTAAATGTATAACTCACCCACTTTATATGACGCGATTGCGGTGGCTACTTAACGTCACGTGGTGCAAAATTACTGGACAGTTATCACCCAATAACTCCCGTATTTTTGTGCATGTTAAAATCGTGGTAGCTTATGCATCTATATGATTGTAAGAAATAATGTCATGAATTAGCCGTAAGTTTTGAACAAATATATTGTAAGCCTATGTAAAGTACAACAGAGGTTAATAAACCGAAAAAAAGGGTCACATATAGATTTGTTATCCATGATTCTGAGTAATTCATTTTGCAATTAGTTGAAGTTAGATTTTCTGTATTTTCTCTCAATCCTAAATAAAAGCCAAGAAAACGCCATATATATATATGTGTGTGTGTGTTCGTCAAGAATTTGATTCTTGGATGCTCTTAAAAGAATAGGGAATATTATTCCGAAAAGGCTTTGGAACAAAGAAATTAAGGAACCTTGATTACCTTAGGTTATCGCTAATCGGCCTTAAAAGCTCTTTACCTTCGTAAGGGATATGTTCATTTTTTTTTTTATTAAAAAACGGGTGTAGTTTTTTTATTGGGCGAATTACAGGGAAAGAAGAGAAATCATACATTCGAACTGAGTTTTTGGGTAATTTTTTACAATTTTCGACTTCGGCACCGATGCCAATCTTCGTGTATGGGCTCGGAGGTGATAGATTTTGTCTTCTGAACGAGATACCAAATAAGAGATTAATGGGGATGGAGAAAAGTGAGTAGAAATTCAGGAATCCTTCCATGTAAAATCTTAACTTAGATCCACATGGCGCCCGGTTGATTATTTAGCTTTGGCAGAAGTCAGAAGGATGTGCGTCTAGTCGATTGTGATGTAACTTCGTGCATCTTCCGGATAAAAGAAGATTAATTGAAAGCAGAAAAAAAGCCAGAAGCAAATAAAAGCAAAATATGAAAAAAACATTAAAAAAATGTTAATCAAACAGTACGATACTGAGCCTGCAACCGAGGAATTTTGAAGGACAGTGGTTTTTACACTTTCGAAAATCCTCTTCATGTACTTCTAAATCTAGTGTAGCTAATTGATTAAAGATGGAGGTTTATGTTTCTGGTTGTGTGTTCTCATCGCTGGTCTACGAACTAGAAAATAGCATAGGAGATGTCGTGAGTGCAGTAATGTTGATTTGCGAAATAATTTTGAGCTGCAGTTTATGTTTTTTTAATCCTATCTTGCTAGGAGGGGCTCCTATTGGGCCAAATTACAAGCCGTATCACCAACACAATCACAGATTCACAATCCGAAAACTTGACACACGAGCGAGTTGCAAGTAAGTTCCGCATTTGTTTACATTATCTACCGTTCTTTTCCTCCAGGATAATTGTTGGTGTTAATAACTCTTTTAATGTACTCCACTTACAGCGATTCAAGGGTTTGTTCCTTTTGGCAAAGTTCACAGGCAAGTAGTAAGATTACGATCAGGAATTTAGCGGAAGTGACTGACTGTTGACAGAGGTGGTAATTTTGCAATTATACGTATATTAAATTCATACGAACAAGGCTACACTTGCCACATGCTTTGCTAACTTTAAGGGTATTATGTAGTTTAATAACAAACAAGGACGTCTCATCGCTGGGATTTTAACATAATTAACACAACGAAAATAAAGTTGGTAATACAACTTTTCAAATCATACCTGCATGATAAGGAAAGGGAGTTTCTAAAACTGATGTCGGGGGCTAAAGCTAGAAACGTCAGTTTTAAAACTCTTTGCAGTGGCCAATTTATATTATCAACTCATTTGGTAAACCAAAAAATTTTGCAATACCCCACTGATGCAGCTCTACAGTTTATTTAGAAACTTACCCCCTTATTGATCAGGAGAGTTACTGTTACTAATAAATTTAGAAATGACCAAATGATTTCAAATAAATTAGATTGATAACACTTATACTTGCCCACTTCAGGCCTTGGAAGTTTACTTATGTTAAAAAAGTATGTATAGAATGAGTTGAAAAAGCTCTAACCTCCTCACCTGCAGAAAAAAATAAATAGTTGAATGCGTTTGAAATGGACTTTTTTTAAGCATGGTATTTGAAAGTAAAATGTCAAGCTAATCGATCTGTTATTTCTCAAAAAAAAACTGCAAAACTTAGAATTAAATGCTTACCAACCATGTAACTATCTGGTCACATTCCTGAAAATTTTCCTGAACTAAAAGAAATTGAAAAAAGGAATGAGTTATATCCCTGGGCCCAGTTTTTTAGCCGATTAGTGCTAGCCCAGGGTTCAACTTTAATCCAGGTTTCTATATTTCTCTGTTTAAAAGCCCTTTTGGAATAATTCTCCCAATTCTTTTTAGAGCATTCAATCATCAAATTGTACTCAAATGGACTTAACCTGAATATTCTTTTAAAGCTTTTGGATCTGAAATAAAATTTCACACTAACCCTGGGTTATCTAAACCCAGCTTTAAGAAATCTGGTCCTGGTCCCTAAATTTAAGCAATGACCATGTAATGATTAATGATCTTAGTAACAATATGACCTTTATTTATTTTTACAAACAGTTTTTACACCAATACTGGGCACATATTAGAGGAAGCTATTTCAAAGGAACTTAATGATAATGAAAAAAGTGAAGTAAGTATGATAAAATAATTATGATGATAAAGAACATGTATTCACCCTAAATATATTGTGGTTTCACTATTATTATTATATTTTTACTTCCAACTTTGCATTTCTAGTGTTCTGATTGGTTCACTTAACACCAGTCATCAGCTCATATCCTGAGTCACCTTAAATGGGAATGGGTTTTGCCAAATATTGTGGAGCTGAAAAAAGGCTCCAAATATCCAAACATTCATGATGTAATGAAATTTAATCAACTAATTATTCTATGCATGCTTGCTGGACATGAGATTAGTTATAGCCAACTTAATACTATGTGCCTGATTTGTTATTTACGATCTCATATTCCCCAAGCCCGCTCATGGAATAATTGTTAATGGCTCCAAAACTACTGGTAATCAGACTATAGTTTGTCATAACCCTTTCACTCTAGAGATCTCTTTAGTACAAGTAATTCTCCTTACCATATGTAACACATTGCTTACAATTTTAGTTCTGAGAATGTAGTGTTAGATCAAATGGCAACCCTCTTATTGATATTGTGTTTATTCTCACCATTTGCCTTCTTGATTTGTTATTGACATTGTAAAGAGAAAATATGTCTTGGTCATTCATGGGAGTTAAAGGGTTAAAGGTAGGATAACTTGCATTGATACTTTTTGTTGTTATTTGCCATTGCAGAAAGTCATTGGTTGGTTTTCATTTCGTCGAAATACTCAAGGACAGGTGTCTATGAGGGAAAGATTTATCCATCACAATCTCATTGCAAAGCTCAACTATACCCCTTCCAAAGGTGTGGATAAAAATGCACTACATGTATGATGAAATTTTCCATCCTTTTGAATGGAAAAAAATCCTTTTGACTTTGCATTTTTCTGGTTAAATCTATTTGTATCACACTTTTTAGTGATACCCTGGTTTTATAATTTCCCTGCTCTAATGCTCCTTCCATTTACATGTTTTGAAGAATTTGCTGACTTCTTGAAGGATATGGCAACAACTTGATCTTGTATGACTTGCAAATGTTTATAACTACTTGTGTCTTTCATGGGGGTAGGGCAGAAACATGAAGGTTATCAAGTTTTCTCATAATATTATGGTGGAATCCATTCTTTTGTGGAAGTAGTCAAAGTCCTTTATGGCACCTGAGCAGTTTATGCAAGACATTAAAAAAAGGAACAAATATAATTGAGTAATTACTGTGTTGTGATTTAAACATATTTTAGGTAAATCAGTTTCAAATCATAATGTTTTAACAACGAAAAGCACGATTGATTTGGGTCAAAATCATTTTAGCTGAAATTATTCTCAACTGCAACAGATACAGTTTTCTTTAATGTAGATAGTATCATAGAATGATGTTAATGGTAGCATTTTTTCTTCTTAAAGAATTCCTCTTAGCAATCTTTACATCACACATGTCCAGGGATCTGTCCTCACACAAATTTGACTACTGCTTTTGTTGTTCTGCTGAGAGAGAAGGGTATGTCTGAATGATAATAAGTTTGGATTTTTTAAGGGAGATATTTTCTGCAAAATGTACTTTAAATCTTGTGAAATTACATATCAATCAGTAATGCTAAAAGGACAGTCAGGTAGTTGGCACTGACTCCTGCTTACCTGATATACTGTAAGTGTACTGGACTGTATGTAGAGAAGGGATACACATATTTATGGCTTGTTTTATTTGCTGGACTAAATTTTCTGTAAGAAATGAATTAAATGCTCTCTCAACAGTTGTTTGGACATACAAAACTGTTATCTTAGTTTATACAGCACCACCACTGTTACTGGTCACCAACTAAAGAGGCTCTAGATTGTTAAACAAATTCTCTCTGTCAGCTCCTTAAGAAATATATAGAGAACAGTATGGGGAATATACACACTGTTGTTAGGGTGTAAATGGTTATAGGTACCACACATGGCTGGCTTCACAGTGAGACAAGTTGCAGAGAAGTTGCTCAGTTTAATATCCCTCGCAAATTTTGTTTGTGTCTGTTGCTCCAGTTGCTGTGTAATACAGAGTGAGAACTTGATTAACTTTTTTTCAAGGAACACTTGCTGTAGAAATATGAGGCAGTTTCTTACATGTACATGTAACTTTTGTTGTGACAAAATTGAAAGAGAAGAAAAACTACCATGAGCAACTAGACCCTAAATGCTGAACCTTGTGAGTTGGTGCAAGTAACTGTTGGCTGTAGCGAACTCCTGATCGTGGGTCAAATATCATGTTTGTGTGGCCCCCCAGCTTTCCTTCATAGTGATTTTTGAGAAGAGATGGAAGTTTATGGCTTCCCTTTTTAAAGTTTGTTTCTGGACATCTTTCTTAATGTTGTAGTCACACTCTTCCCCACAGGTTTTTTGAACCAGTTCAGGTACAGATATTAAACCTTGGAGATACATCACATTCTGAGTATAGACTTAACTGTCACTCTGCCCAAGCCACGTCCAGTCTTTTTCATGAAGTGATAGACTCTTACAGGTAACAAGCACAGATAAAGTGTACTGTACATCACCTAGAATGCTGCTATTTAAAGATCAGAATAACTGCATTCCTAAGATATACTTGAACCCTTCACTTAAGCAATCCATTTTATATAATATGTAATAATTGCTTAATTTATTTGTTTTAATCATATGGGTAGCTTGTGCATCCTTTTTGGGCTTTTGTGGGTAGCCATTGATCTGAAAAATAAGTTCTCACAGAAAAAAACATTTAACATAATAAAAGGCTGTGAAATTTATCTACCCTTTTTCTAATAGTAAGACCATTGTTGCAGAAGTGATCAATGTCAAATTTGTAAGAAAATGCTGATTCAGAAATTACACTTGAAAAACAAAATGTGACAGCTTTAGGCCTTGGATGATCAATACTGCAGGCTTTAGAAATCACAATTTTACACTTATTTAATTTTATGTTTAAGGATTTTTGGGTATGAGAAATGTACTTGACAACTTTTTAATCATTTTCATATGAATCAGACAAATAGTTTAGGTCTTGGATGATTAGTGAGAAAGTGGTTTGATACTGGTTCTAAGACTTGATCTGTTATTTCTTACAGAAATGAGTTTGTTGACGATAAAGGATGTATACAACAGTCCTCCAATATGCATGGCATGTACATAACTATGATGAAAAGGTTGCAGGTGTGAATTTAAAGTATCTTGTACATTAAATTGATGATTTAGGTTCCCTTGACAGTGGAGGGGGAGGGGCTGCTAAACAGGGATCCTTACATAATTGTGCAAAGGACTAGTCAAACCTTATCAAGTACATTGTGTTTGTAGCACAAAAGCCCATGCAAATCTTCACCCCATCATTTATGATGACTCTTGTTAAGATGTTGATTGACTTTTGCAAAAACCTTTATGTTAATCAATTTTATTGCAAACACTATACTCTCCTTTAAATTCTGGGTTGAAATTTGTTGTTGCCAATAGATGTTGATTGACATGGGTAAAGTGCTGGAAGATTGAATAATTGCGTGGGTTGTAGGTTTCTGCAAATGATGTATGTTTTCTTTCCCCTGGGACTCAGAATCTTCTGTGAAAACAACTGTTTGCCCTCTTAGAGCTCTACCTATTACTTTGCTGTTAGTTATTTGTCAGTAAAAGATGTTTTACCTATAAAAGCAGTATAATATTGTTGACTTTACATATAAGTATAAGACATTAGTGGACAAATGTTATCCATCAATTTGATGATGGATTTATAACAAAACATAACTTGTTACATAGCCACAAACTAACATAGTTAGTAAGTTATTAAGATATTTTAAAGAATCTTGAGAAAATGTTCTCAGGGTAATACAATTTGATTACAGAATGAAGCATATGGTTAGGGGAGGGTTTTACCCATGGGGTTGGCATTTGGGTCTGCTTTGGGTAGGCATGTGTCCCCTGATTTTCAAATTTGGAGCTGTATTGAGAAAGAATTCACACCCAAAATCATACATCATGCTAAAAATAGCTCAGATTTGAACCCTTGTTGGAGAAATTTTAGTGGTTTGTGTGAGAAAAGATGGTTTCTCTGTGCTCAAAATGTCACGTCCTCCTCAGGAAATTATTTCTCTTAAATGGACACCTTGCACTAAAGTAGGAGTTCAATACCTTGGCCCCATTGGGCAGCAAATACCTGTACACTAGGTATAGAACATACCTGTATACTGAGTGTTTTCGAGGGGTTCCCTCAGGATTCGCTTTGAACAATAGAAAATTTTGCTTGTGCTTTTAATTTCATGAGGTAAGCAGTTTATTTTCTCTCCCAAGAATTTAGTTGAAGTTGTAAAAGGTAGTGAAACCACTGTGTCTTCATTGAATGAAGAAGTAGAAAACAGAAGAAAGGAACTGGAAGAGTGTCGTAAGGACCTTTCAAGGAAAAATGGTAACTGAAACATCACTGCTTCTTTTAACTACTTAATAAATTAATTAAGGGGGTAGAAAATTGTTACAACTACAAGTCTGTTGCTAAGTAAATCAAAGGTTGCAGAGTTTGTTTGATCCATACTCCATTTAATTGTTTTGAACAGCAACATGTGGAAGACTCAAAATTAAAACTAACCCCACTCATGTCATACAGATGTTAATTTGGGACTACTCTACTTTTTATTGTTACAGCTTCCTATGAAGTGGGTGAAAAACGGCCTCTCCAGCCTAATTCTCTATTAAGTGAATCCAACCAGGAGAAAGAAGAAGCAGAAAGAACTTTTGAAACACATGGATCAAATTTGCCTGGTGATGATAACAAATCTATAGCTTCTGTTGCAGCTAGTGATAGTGAATTGGGAGAGAAAAATGACCAAGGAATTTCTGAGGAAAATACAGATGCCACTGCAGAAGGATCACCAAATGTGAACTCTCCCAGTTTTAACAGAAGGCGGAAACAAAGAACCCCTGCTAGAGTTGTTGTTCGTTATGTTCAGCCAGTAGTGGCTGACGATGATGATGTCACAGATGATGAAACACAGCCATATTCTATAGAGGATAAAATTACAGGAAGTGGACCAGACTATGAAGAAAAACTCTCTCAAAATCTTGCAATGGAGACGTCGTCACCAGTTTTCTGACAGCAGGGAAGATATTTTAAAGATTCTTATGTTGTATAAACTTTTGATACAATAATACCTTGCAACACATTTACTGGTCTACGTTTATAATAATTATGAATAGTTAGGCCTTTGTCCATTAAACAAATGAATATTATTATTCTAAAAATCACAGAGAGATTGCCACAAACTGTATTCTTATGTTTTTTAAGTTGATATACAAAGGTAAAACTTGCTTCCTCCTCATTGCATGTGTTTCTATAAATTGACTTTTTCTTTTATCAAAAATTATGTAGAAGGGAATCAAGTTTACTTTGTTATTGCAGATTAATAGGCCATGATCAACAACAACACAGTCAGTGTGTGATCTCAGACTAAGTGAATGTGTTTTATGGAGACAAACTACTACACTGTATGTTACACTAAAATGAGGCTGTTCTAAAAAATAAGAAACTGATTAATCAAAAACTGATGGGAAACCTAGTTGTGAATGAATGGATGGCATTCATGTATGTTGGAAAAGTTATAATATACAAAGAATAGATATTTTGGATGCTAGCTTAAAACCATGTGTTGAAATAGGTTTTGTTGTTCTTCTGTCGGTAACTTTGTTTGATACTGATAGGAATGAGTTTGTAGTGTGGTGTAAGATTAGCTCAAAATTTAAGTAGAACTATGTCATCCCAATTCAATGTTTTCTGTTTAGCTATTCTTTTGATTGGTCAGTTTTTGTCCAATTGGCTTCAGTTATTAGCATCATTGCAGTTAAAAACTTTGCTTAGCAAACTGCAGATACAGGGGTAGTAAGGGGTTTGTCTACAAAGTTAGATAGGACACTTTATGTTAAATTTCACAAGTCACGTAATTGAACAATCTTATTTTTGCACATCTCTCTCAAAATAAGTTTGAATGATACTCTTCATAATAACTGCAGGTTAAACTATCCTTCAGTACAACAGTACCAAAATTATTAGGACTACATTTATTTAGCCAGTTAACACATTTTTTATAAGATAAAAACCATTAAAGTCTTGGCTTTGTTTAAGGTTCTAGGGAATCAACCCTCCAGGAAGAAAATAATCTCACCTGTGATCTGTTAGAGAAAACTATCACTTGCCTGCTTAAGATTTTTGCAACTATGATTATTACTGACAGTAGTTTTCCAAATTTTCTACAAAGTTTATGAAATTTGTTAAAAGCGCTGCAAGCATGTACTTCACTAAATAATATCAGTGGATATTTTAATCCTAACTGTTTTAGATTTTATTTTTCTGTGTTATGTGCTCATTGTCACATTTCAATACTCAAAACAGTGGGTCAAATAAAAATTTGATCTACAGACATAAAACAAAACCCATTTATCTCAGTAATGTAGCATTATCAACTGTGTTGTTATTGTAAATTGGTCACCATAACAAGTTTTGGAACTTGTTACAGTGGCCAATTTATGTTATCAACTCATTTGATAATACTTAATTACCCTGTTATACTCTCCCACCAACACAGCACCACAGTTTCTTAAGGAACTTGCCCTTCACCCATTAATCTTGCCCTGAAAGCATAAAAGTGTAATGTGTTAACTGTATTACATACAGTTATTACAAACAGGATGAACAGTTTTTTTTTTTCATGAATTCCTATTTATTCATAGCCTGGCAAATATTTTGATAGTCTTCCTTTTTTCAATTTTTTTTTTTAGCAGAGTTGCATTCAACCTTGAACATAGCCTTCTTAGGGACAGCTCAGTTGAAATATTCATAATACAGGAATAACTCTAATTTACCTATTGAAGACATGGTTACTGTTAAATATTAATAGCATGGCTGATATTTAGAACAAAACAATGCAGTTTTTCAACTATTGCAAATAAGGATTATGTATTATTAAGACCTGTATAATGAATCACTAGTCTCTTTTTAAATACAGATTTACCACTTATGGGCGAAAGATATTTTAAATTTTGCATGTTTTATGTACTGACTACAAACTTGTCACACATTCATTTTATATTGCAATATTAAAACAGAGCTGATTATATTATCTACAAAAAATTGACTCAAAAAAGCATTGCATGGCAGAGCTTACTTCTTTTTCCCAGGGCATTCATACCCATCCTCTTTCTCCCTGATATACACTTCGCTTGTACACACCTGTATCCAGTTCAGCCCATACAGGATTGGAAATAATCAGGATAATTTTTGGAAAAGCTTGATGATACTTTTTGATGTTCAATAAAAAAGACAAATTTGTTTTGCATTGCTCTAATAAATAGATTTCTAGGAACTGAGGGGGGTGCCATTATTTAAGTGTTTGCCTCCCTGTGAAGTTGCTCAGGATCAAAAATGGACTTTTCTTCATGTGAAGGTTGGGTTTGTTGTTAGTTCACGACCTTGTTTTTCAAATTTTTCCTCTTAGTTCTCTGATTTTCCTTTCAGTCCAATCCTGATACACAAATCAATTTTGCATGCTCTCTAGAGTTGAACCTTTCCACTTACACAGGGCAGAAAAATCATACATTTTCTCTTGAAATGAAAGGCTGGTCATAAGAGTGAGTGACACTGTTTGCGGCTGAAATGCTTGTTTTCACCAGATAATGAGACTATAACTCTTTACATCATGAATAATATTTTGTATCTACCACATAGAGCTGTTGCTAGTGGTGCATTCTAATCCTCATTATTTCATCACCCCCCAAAAATTATTTTTTAGAGTGGTCAAACCTGGTTTAGCAGATGCTAGTGAAACATAATTATGTAGCAATATGTTTCCCACATACCCTCAATACTTTGTCAAAAGAGTCAAGTTCAACAAAAAGATACCAAGGTCACTATTAATTTTGATTTTATTTACAAAATAGTAATGTAGGTGTAACCTGGGCCAAAACTATTTCTAAATTGCTGCTAGAATAACTTTGGGTCCTCATGGAAGTCAAGGTACTTCATGGTAACAGGCATGAAACCTGAAAACAATCAAACAGAGAAATAAGGAATTGCTCAAAGCGGAGAAAAAAGTTCTCAACAAGCAGTCACAGGTAACCCTTTAACACCTAAGAGTGATGAGCATCTAATTTCTCCCACCAGTATCACTCCTGAATAAAACATTAAGGTCATGAGATTAAAAGAAATGATCATGAGGTCAACATGCTATTGATTATTACCTTAATTATCCTTGAAAGTACCATAAGAAACATAGAGAGAACAGTATGGAGTATTTGCAAACTGATGTTAGTGCATTAACTGCTAAAATAAGGGACTCACTCCTTACCCATGGCTCTAGCTCTTCTGATGTTTTTTCCAATTTCCTTTTGTTTTTTATTACACAAACCTTCCAAGACAAGAATTTTGCAGTTACTAAAATGGTATACAACACTATTAAGCAAACTATGATTAGAAAAATAGCTCTGTCTAGAGCTACAAAAATAGTTAATTTTGTAGGTGATACACAAACTAACCTGTAAGAGTGCGTCCATAAATTCTACCAGTATGAGGTGAAACAAACTGGGACAGTAAACGGACATTCTGTAGGTACACAAGGATAAATTATAAATACAAGAATATAACAAATACCTTACTATTCACACATACACTTCACAAGCTTGACTGCAATTTGTGACCAAAATGACAATTTATATTTTAAACTTTAGCCTCTTACAGACCATGTAATGGTTATTTAATAACTTACTTTGTAGTCAATTTCCACATCTCCCCTCATTGGACAAAGTAAACAGCCAGTTGGCCTGTCTTCTTCATCTAACCTCTGATCAAAATAAAGAGGAACAATTAAAAAAAATGGAGTTTACATCTGTGGGATTGCTATCATATCACACTTAAATCTATTTAACTGTTCTGATTCAATATTACTACCTAAGTACTCAATTAATTATATTTAATATCTTATAGCACAGTAAGAGGGCAATTGACAATCTATATTTCCAATATTTAAATTAATTTTACTTTTTTTCCTTCTTGTTTTCATTTGTATTTTGTTATAAAAGATAATTCATTTTATCACTCATGTTCAAGATCACATTAAAATATTTTATCACCGTTCTCAGCTTGTCAAATCTGCTGTTTCATTCTCAAAATCTGCTGTTTTTAGTGTCATCCCCTTCTTGAAGCAAATAGCAATTGGTGCCAACAAACGACTGATGCATGTGAGATCAGCTGTATCAAACTTGTACTGTGGTTTACCCAACTTCTTAACTTATCTTATAGTTGACAACCACCAATTTGTAAGCAAGTCATCAACTACTTCACACTGGTCGTAATTTGTAAGTTTTAAAACAATCATTCCAGGTGAAACAGTTGTCAGTGGACTGGTTTCCTTGTGAGCCAGACATATAATTAAAGGTTTCCTCAAACTATCTACTAAGAACAGAAGTGGCTTATTCTATTTTGCGAAACGAAACGAAAATAAACCAGGCGAGATGTAACGAAACTAAGGAATAATGCGGTATACTATCAACAGAAGTGCAACTGAAAAAATTCCATGCTTGTCCTGTCATACACATACCTCTAGTTTCGCCTGTAACTGGTTCAATTTAAACCGGCGAAGCATCCTTTTTCTCCGGGTGTTGTGATACTGTTTGCTATCTGCAATGAAAAACCATTTTCAGCTAATATGATTCGATGAATCAAAGAGACATAACTAAGTGGCCTTATATTTAAGAGTTAAGGGTTAGCTACAATGCATCACTTGAAAATGAAAATAAGAACGCATTCATCACGTTTACCTGACGTGCTTACGTGGAAACTGTGGCTTAAGACGGCTGTAAACGAACGCAGAGGGGTTAAAAAGTTATTTGTGTTTTTCAGTGCTAGCGAAATCAGTGGAGATCCACAGAACACTCTCGGTACCCTAGTGGCCGCCATCTTTAATTTTTTGACGAGGGCGATGAGATGGCGGGCTCATAGAATCGTAACCAGGATTTATCGGTATTGGTTATCAACGCCTGTTACATTTTGCATGACCCTTCAATCAAGATGGCTGCATATGGTCTATCTGCGATGCGATCTTTAGCAAGATGTCGATCTTTTCAAGCGTATTGTGCATTTTCCACGGGTTTAACGTCTCGTGCGTCAGTTGCTGTGGTTAGTACAATGAATTTTGAATTTTGAAAGAATCATAAACTTTCCATCTGTTTTGCAAATTGATTTCGGGTTACCATGCATAATGTCTGCTCAGTTTTAGATCTGTGACATACTCAGCTGGATCTTGTGTGCTACATTTATTTTCTTACCACAACTTGGATTCTATTTGTTTTTTATGATAAAAAGAAAAATGTTGATGGTGAGGCATCTGTGCATATGTACTCCACTAAATCATTAATAAGAACCAATAAAAATGTATGCATAATTCAACTTATTATATATTCAGTTATAGATCACGGATGACAAACTCTTTTTCAAGAAAAAATTTACTGTTTCATGCATTTTATAGGTGCTATCTGGGAATGGAGTTTTTGATGGTGCAGAAGTTCATGAGGCTTCAGCGTAAGTCTTCTGCTATGTATTAGAGAATAATGTAAATTTTCCCTGAAGATCAATAATCTGCATCAAAAGTAGCTGGCAAATCTCATTTGAACAGTTCTATTTATCATTTATGTGTTGCATAACACCACTGTTGACTTATTTTCAATACCATGCCATGAATCATTGAATAACACCACTGTTGTTATTATTAACACCATGCCATGAATCATTGATCTAAACCCTCTCTTACCCATTCAAGGTTGCCTGTATGTAACTTCTGTAAGAGTTCCTGGAATCACAATCCAATATTTTTGGGAGGGAGGGGATGAATAGGTTAACTTACTTGAGGGCAAAAGAGATAACATGAAAGTACTGGGGGGGGGGTCCAAAAGGTCAATGTGTCACCAATTTGTTGCCGATTGTAGATAATTTACGTATTAGACCATTTTTGAATATGAATAATTTTAGGTATAATATATATTAAATATATAAAGCCAATCTATGCTGTAAACCACCGACCAGCTTACTGCGCAATTATAACCTTACCATATTCATGAAATCTAACCCATAGATTTGTACCATTTTGAAATCTCTTGAAAACCCTGGGTTGTTTAGTTGTCATAGTTATTATGTAACAATAAAGGTTAGGTGCAATATTGTCAGGGCATTTTTGGAATGGCTAAATTGGAGGTAAACTCTGTTGTTTCAATTCTGTCCTGTACTTGGTTTGGTGGTCTGGGTGGCCCAAGTTTTTGTAGATGTACTGTTCCAGGTGATTTAATACAATATTTTCTCTCTCTCTCTCTCTTAACATAAGGGTACTGGTCCACCTGAGCCAAGCTGGGGCTGATGTGAGCATGTATGCACCAGATATTCCACAGATGCATGTATTGAATCATGCTAAGGGAGAAGTAATGGAGAATGAGACACGGTAACGGATTACTAACTTATCACATGATTGTGATAAGAGAAGAATATTGAATAAAGAAGGGAAGAGAAAATAAGTTGGAGAAATTGTTTCACAAATAAATTTTTCAAAAGGCATATGGTAACATATCAGTTCTTGAGATAGCTTTTGATAAATTTATTTTGACAGTTTGTATCAAATCTTAATATTTGCACCAGTTGGTTGATTCAAGTTGATATGTAGTTTCCCCAGCTTTTTGGCTTTTTGTTGTTAAAATTTTCTTGTTTGGACGTCTTTCCAAGAACAGTTAAATTTAACCAATAAAAACTCAGGATATCTCCTCAGTCTTGGTAGAATCAATGTATTATTCTAAATTATGGGTGATGTAAAGGAACCAGAAAAGGAATTAAGACTGAAAGTGCTTTGTATTGATCAGTTTCAGTAAGCATCACTTGTTAGCTTTTTATAAACCCCTTCAATCCCAAGAACTTAATAGTAATTCTCCTTACCATCTGTCATACAATTCTTATGATGTAAGTTTGGAGAATTTGGTATCGAATCAACTTATATTCCCCTAGTTGATATTTTTCTTTATTCCTATCACTTGTCTACTTGATATAGTATTGATACTGTAAGGGGAAATTGTGTCTTGATCATCAATGGGAGTTAAAGGGTTAATAGCTTAATGACAATTTTTGATTTCAGGAATGTTTTGGTTGAGTCTGCCAGAATAGCTAGAGGGAAGATCACTCCTCTTGCCAATCTCGATGCTGCTTCCCATGATGCTGTTATTTTTCCAGGAGGATTTGGAGCAGCAAAGAATTTGTAAGTCCAGAGACTGATGATTATAGATTTTTCATATTTTTCACTGCAACATCCGGAGGAAAAGATTCATGAGATGAATTCCATTTTTTATTTAAAACAAATATTCAAAGGTAATATTTTATTAACAAATCACCTAAGAAGCTCTGATTGTTAAATGAGTTCTCCTTGTCATTAACAAAGGAAATGTCTAGTGAAGCATAAGGAGAGTATGGAGTTGTAAGCTAACTATTAGGGTGCTGAAGCTCCTAGGTGGGAAAGATGTTTTATAATAATTAACTTATATTAGTAGTAATGATAATTAATTTTTATTTTTGAACAAAACAGATAATATGCAGTGTTTGTATTTTTATCAGGAGTTCCTTTGCTGTGGATGGTGCAGGCTGCACAGTTAATGAAGAAGTTGCAAAATGTATCAATGATTTTCATGCTGCCAAAAAACCTATTGGGTGAGAGCACAACTGAATTGTGTACATTATATTTTTTATTCTATTCTGATCTCACATCAGTAGGAGAGGTCAGTTCTTGTGGCCTGATGGCTGTCTCAGATTTATGACATGTTATGCTCTAACTCTGTATAACAGGGTAAATTAGTATTATCAGCTGAGTTGATAATGTAAATTGGCCACCATAAAGAGTCTAAAAGCTGACATTTTGAGCATTAGCCCTTCGTCAATTGCTCTGGGGAAGGGCTTGAAACATCAGCTTTTAGACTCTTTATGGTGGCCAATTTACATTATCAACTCAGTTGATAATACTAATTTACCCTGTTATACCCTCCCACCGAAGCAGCACCACAGTTTCTTTAGAAACTTACCCCCTTTATCCAGCTCTGTATGCATAGCTTCCAACATGTGGCTGGATCAGTAGCTCAGTTGGTAGTAACACCCAACTAGTATCAGGAAGGCACAGGTTCAAATCCTGTTGAGGCCAGAATTTTTTCAGGCTTCTTTTCTGCAGTTGCTTAAATTGCAGCTCACCTGTGACAATCATGGCTTTATTTCATTTCAATCTGCAGGTCAATGACATTTATTTCATTTTAAATTTAATGTATATGTCTTATATGATGTAATACTAAAGATTCTCTCCATTTGACCAAATGTCAGAAATGTTCTAAAACGAATAACCAAATAATTTTACAGCAAAAGAGCACCATTTCTAACCTAATTTTACTTTAAATAAAACTTGACTTGTTCCTGCATTCCTTAAGATCAATAGTACAATTTTGTGCCAAAGATGCAAAGCAACCAAAACAACAATTGCATATCAAAAATGTTGTCATCTTGTTTCATTTCAGTCTTTGTTGCATTTCTCCAGTGTTGGCAGCCAAGGTTAGTTTAGTCCCTAAAACATTGTTATATTTAAAATTAATTTCAACAATTTTGCATTGCTTTTTGTAAATTCTAATCTCCTTTTAGATAAAAAAAAAAAATTGATCGAAGTAAGTTGGCAGGTTCGTTACATCTCTTAAAATTGATATCTAACATGGAATTTATTTATGTCAGCTCATCCCGGGTGTTGAGATAACAGTAGGACAGGACAAGGACGATGGAGGCCGCTGGCCATATGCGGGTACTGCAGATGCTGTGCAACAGATGGGAGCAAAACACATAAACAAAAATGTCGACATATCCTTTTAAATTGTGTTGCTTTGGTTCTAATCCTAGGGTGATGCGTCTAACAATGCAACAAAAAGAGAATGTGCGAGTCAATAATGTCACAATCAAATCCCAAACGGTGTGCGAGACTCGGTTACTAACGTAATCATCAGACACATGACAAAGTGTGCATGTCGCTCAGGTGACAACAAAACGTTAAGCAGAGAGTGCGAGTCATCAAACTAACAGTCAGACAATCGCTCTGACGAAGGGCTAACACTCGAAAAGTCAGCTTTCAGACTCCTTACGGTGGCCAATTTACTTCATTAACTCAGTTGATAATACTAAATTACCTTGTTATACTCTCTCACCGACGCAGCGCCACAGTTTTTTTGGAAAGTTACTCCCTTTTAAAAATCAAACAGATAAGCTCAACCTAACTATCCGATAAAAAGACAGAATGCGCGAGTTACGCACCAAACAATCAAACAGAAAACGCGACTTACACTGTACCAACGTAACAATCAAACAGAAGCAGAGTGCACGAATTAACTACATAACAATCACACAGAAGAAAGAATGCACTAGTTACAAACGTAACAATAACACGGCAATCGAAGCAATTAATCAAAAAATAGTATGCGCGAGTCACTCACGTAACAATCAAACAGGAAACAGAGTGCAGATTACTTACGAGACAATTACACAGAAACAGAATGCACGATTAACAAGCGTAACAATCACACATAAAACAGAATGTGCAAGTTACAAAAGTAACTATCACACGGAAAAGAGAATGCGCGAGTTACAGACGTAGCTATCATATACCATACGGAATGCGCAAGGAGCAAAGGTAACAATCACACAGAAGAGAATGTGCTAGTTACCAACATAACAATCACAGAAAATAGAATGTGCCAGTCACACAGAAAACAGAACGTGCGAGTTAGCAATGTAACAATCACACAGAAACAGAATGTGCTAGTTATTAGCGTAATAATCACACAGAAAACAGAATGCACGTTACCAACGTAACAATCACACACAAAACAGAATGCACGAGTTACCAACGTTACAATCACACAGAAAACAGAGTGTGCTAGTTACTAGAGTAATAATCACACAGAAAACAGAATGTGCTAGTTACCAGCGCAACAATTGTACGAGTTACCAACTTAACAATGACACAGAAAACAGATTGCGCTATTTACAACGTAAAGGTAGTGACCAACGTAACGATCGCACTGAAAAAAGAATTTGCGAGTTACCAACGTAACAATCATATACAAAACAGATCGCGTAAGTTACAACGTAACAATCATACGCAAAACAGATTGCGCGCGGAATCAACGTAACAATCTCACAGCAGTCGAAGCAATCAAACAAAAGTCACACGCGTACGTAACAGTCAAACAGAAAACAGAATGCGCGAGTGACTATCACACACGGAAGGGTGCGAGATTTGCCTATGTAACTATTTGTAACTCAAAACGGAATGTACCCGTCACTATCGTGGCAATCATAGAGAAAACAGAGGGCAACGTGCGCCAGCCATAAACTTTAAAATCAAACATCAGAACAGAGTCTAGGAGTAACTAACGTAACTATGAAACACGGAACAGAGTGAGCGACTCAATGGAAGTCAGTGAATAACACCGTAAACACTGTTTCAGTCTGCCATCATCACGGTATCAGAAATGCCCTGTTTGATTTAAGAAATTTCCATATAAATCTTTCTACATAATAACGAGTGTTAACGTACGTGATTTTAATGAGGTTCTTATTTTGAAACAGTCTAGCTCTGTTCTTTACTAATCATTCTCAAGCAGAAAGGGTTTAAAAAAGTTAAGATAACCCGGCGAAAAAGGGATTATTATTTGTTCAGATTGAAGTAATTTAAAATATTTGTAAGCGTACTTTACATAAACAATGGACCACAACAGTCATAAGGATGTTTAGATTCCTCATTTTTTGCTGCACCGAGATTGAAGGTGTTGGTGCTTTTCCTTAACTGCTTGCACGAAATTCATGTGGACCAACAGAACAAAGTTGTTACAACCCCAGCATTCATGTGTGAGACAAAAGTTCATGAGATACACGATGGTATCGGCAAGATGATAGAGGCGATCGTGAAGATGTTTTAATTTCACTCAACTGTCAGCATGTATGGAGCGGTAGTTCCTCGGGCTGAGTTCTCATCACGGCGTTCATTTCTTCGTATAGATCAGTTACTGTTGAGATTAAGTGCTAATACGAAAGACTGTTTTTCATAACTTAGCGCCAATATGGGTCGTTCAGATCGCTTAAAAATAAGTACCTGTACTAACCCTTAGAGGTGATACCTCTTATAAAGTAGCTAAAGAGATGGCCATCTTGTAATGGGTAACGATGTTGGAACTGTGCCAAACACAGAAAGTGTCAACCCGACTGGGATAATAAATTTATCTTGTTTTTCTTGAGTCTAGAACTGTTTTCCTCTTGGGACTGTATACTTGGATTCTGAAAACGTTTTGTGTGATTTTTTTTTTCTAGGTGAGTTTATTACTAGCAGTGGAAACCCCATAGCCTTCTCTCATCCGATACTCGTTGTCTATACTCTAGGAATGGTTTGTTGTGTACGCACAAGTAAAACAAACAGACGTGCCATTGTGTTACCCTTAGGTCTTCGTTTTCGTAACTCAGGAAGAGCGCTGAGAATATCAGAATGATGCCGAACGCGCCGAACAAATTTCATTAGCGCATGCGCAGACGAAATCCCCTCTGCTTGGCCACTGTGTGTCACATTACATGAGTATACTGAACATGCTGACAGTGCTGCAACGCTGTGAATAACTTTTAGTTTAATCTGGTAAGTAATGCTGAGTTATATGGATCATATGAGGTTTTCATTGATACGAAAGACTATAATAGTGAATTATCCCGAAATGATCTGCGTGCGATCAGTGATACACAACAACTTGAAGTGAGGTCTGCGACAGCATCGTTGTTTATAACAAGTTTCACCCAGAATCTTCTCTCATATTGAAACCAGTGTTTTGAAAAATTTGAAAAGAGAGGGTTTCATCTGAAAATAATTACCAATCTCTGCTCTTTCACAACTTTTTCTAACTACACCTCTCTTCCGACACATGTCTAAATGATTGGGACTGTTGGAAGGGCTAGAAAGTTTCTTTCATTTGCCAATCACATGATTAGCACATGCATTCGTCCTGTGGAGTATATTGCAGCGTAGTAATTGCTTATTGCGCAGATAATGTTTTTTGTTTTTTAAATTTGTTCTTGCCTGTGAATGAAGTACATTTCTCCTCGCAAGGGATGTAATATGATAGACTAAGGAAGGATTTGTCAAGGACACCCCTGCTCCTGATTGTCTATTTGGTCCTTTACGAATACTAATATTTCAGATGAAGCTGATTATGTGCAAGAAGACTTTGAACTTTCCGTCTATCTTGTGTGCTTAAATAAGTTGGGCCCTGACATTTTGATTTTCAAGCTGTCATTTTTTTATTGCTATGAGATGAGAAAGAAACGATAAAACAGCTGAATAGATAGGAAAAAAAACTGTTACGTTAGATGTAAGCTACATGACACTTGAGTGGGATTCCATTTGGAAATGGTGAAATAGGCAAGGGTCTATTAATGCTCTTGTTTTGCAACCAGGCACATCCATGTCACCTCCTCTCTTGATACAACTCAACCAATGCAACCTGATTGAAACGTTATTTAACAAATAGATTCTATGTAACTGTGCATCTATTACATAATAGATCACAGATTAAGTAGTGTGTATCTCTGATGTCCTTACCGCATTTTTCATTTTCTGTGATATACTATTGTACAGACCACTTGTAACAGGGATGCTATTTGTTTTGTATAATGAAAGATAGAAATGTTGTTAATGGTGACTTATTAATTGCATAAGCATCTCAGCTGATTATGTTATCAGTAATGGAAGACAGTTTAAGCAGAGAGGTGTCTACACTACTCCCATATGAGGGAGAATAAATGACAATTACAAATAATTATATTGTTGGGTTATTTTTAGGAATATTCAATTGCAATTCATGTTTTGTTGCAGTGTTGCAGACTTTCTTGTCACTTGGAGATGAGATCGGCACAAGTCATTTTCACCCTATCCCTCCTCACCCTTGTGGCAAGTAAATATGATCCAACATGGGAATCACTAGACTCCCGTCCCCTTCCCCCTTGGTACGATGAGGCCAAGTTTGGTATATTCATGCACTGGGGAGTGTACTCAGTACCTAGTTTTGGAACAGAGTGGTTCTGGTACAGATGGAAACATGACCAGGATCCAAGTTTTGTGGAATTCATGAAGAATAACTATCCACCTGACTTTGAGTATCAAGACTTTGCCCCAATGTTTCATGCAGAATTCTTTGATCCAGACTCTTGGGCAGATCTTTTAACAAAGTCTGGTGCAAGGTGGGAATGGACAATTCATGATTTGTTTTATACTTCTAACTACTAAGAGTGACTAGCATGACTACTTCCTTCTAACATTACAAAACTCCCTTTAGTCACACAGAGTATGTGTCAACTGTCAGCTATTTATCATCATATTGTAGATTAAAAAAACCTTCCAACTTCACACTGTCCTTTGTCTCTGAGAACCATGATTATACCACTAGAAGTACATCTTGCAGCTCTTAAACCCTAGCAACTTCAGAGTAAAAATTAGGAGATTCTGTCCAACAGTTATTGGATGCTATTTTAAGTGACATTCATATATATATATATATATAATTATATATACAAGTTAAAGAATTAAAGAGGACTCATCGATTCTCTGTGACTCTGATTTTTGTGCCTGTCTGATGAGTGCTTAGGTGCGAAACTCAGTCACAGAGAATTGATGCGTCCTCTTTAATTCTTACCCCCACATTTATATATATATATATATATATATATACACATATATATATATATATGAGAGAAGCCCATTAGCAAACTATTTAAGAGAGCACTTTTCATGTTTTATCTCAGCATTGATCAGTGTATTCTTTTGACTATGTACTAATTAAATATCTGTTTTTTTAAGCTGTGATTCTTCTTTCCCTCTCATTTCTGCTTGTGTGTTACTGTGTGAAAAATTCAATTTAAAGTAAAGGGCATCAAATTTGCTTGCTACATTATACCTTTCTCCATTTTCTCTCTCCTTTATAATTTTTTAAAAGGTTGTCTATTGTTGAAATGGAGGAAACAAAAAATACAAAAATACAAATACAAAAAGAATCATACATCAAGGTCACAAGTGTAAAAGAAAAGATCACAAACCCCACTATGTATTTGCATATAACTCAGTTTCTACATAGAGTGATATGCTCGTGCTCAATGCCCACTGTGCTGTACTGCAAATGATGTGTTTTTCAGCCATAGTTGTATCTGTTCTCATTTGTGAAAAATGGCTGATAGCTTCCCCAAGCTGGCAGAAGGTGATTTCTCTTAACCCTTTACACCCTAACATCAGTATGCATATTCTCCATACTGTTCTTTAAACATTTCCTAAAGTGCTGACAAGGAGAATTTGTGTAACAATCATCATGACTTTAACATGTGGTTCGCAGGTGATAATGTGAGGAGAAATTAGTTGCTAGTCACTCTCAGGGATCAAAGGGTTCATGAAAAGTTATGAAAAAAGTGGAGTGTAACACTTATAGTTGAAATATAAAACAATTTACTAAATTGGGTTTTTTTTAAAATATCATCATTATCCTTCAATGTCTGCCAGATCAATTGTTTGTCTCAATGGTCAGTGTGGTAAATCAAGGGATTACATTATTTTGTTCAACCTTTTTCTTAGATATGTAGTCCTGACCAGTAAACATCATGAAGGTTGGACAAACTGGAGATCAAATGTATCATGGAACTGGAACTCTGTTGACAATGGTCCACACAGGGATCTTGTGGGTAGGGAAAATTTAAAGGCTAAATATGTGCGTGTGTGTGGAAGTAAAGATTATTAGAACTCCTCTTTATTTTTCATTTTCAGGGGAACTGGCAACAGCCATAAGAAATAGAACAGACATCACATTTGGATTGTATCATTCACTCTTTGAATGGTTCAATCCTCTCTATTTGAAGGATCGTGCCAACCACTTTGAGACACAGGATTATGTAGAGGTATATTGATACATGGTCCTTTTTGTCCTGCTGTCTCTTACATTTGAATACCCAATATGTTTTTACATCAAATCATTCTGGTCAACTAGCCAACCAGGTTTTTAATGGAATTCACTCAGATAAACAAATCTGTAGTTGATTTAAAAACAAAAATCCTTTACCAAAAACTCTGTAGAAAATCTTGCCAACTTAAGCATGAGTGTAAGCAAGAACTACACAACAAAGAGTCAAAACATAAAATTCAGTTCATATTACAAGACTGTTATCAAATGTACCAGTCATACTAGAACGTTGAAGAAGAGCCAGCTAGGAAGGTGTGAAACAAGCTGATAATTGTAACAAGAATGCCAAAAAAAAAGCAAGAATAAAGGGCCAAGTATAATGACATGTAAATTGCCTTATGGAACACATTTAAGTAAGTTTGATGATAATATAATAAATAACTTCTTGTTAATGCACAACAAAAGGGTAAATACACAATAGTTTAAAGATGAATTCCTCTCAGGTTCTTGAAACATCAGTCAAGTTTATTCAAAATTTGTAATAAATTCAGTGAAGAGGTTCACTTGTGGCAGTATTTCAAAAGAGTGAAATTGTTGAGTTTATGTAGAACAAATTACCAGTACAATACTTGAGCTGTTGTATAATTAATTATCTTATCCTGTTTTTTTTTTCCAGCAAATTTTGATGCCAGAGTTGTATGACCTGATTAACACATATAAACCTGAATATTTATGGTCAGATGGTTCAAGTGGACCTGACACTTACTGGGAGAGCACAAAGTTTCTTGCCTGGCTTTATAATGAGAGGTAAAGATGATACTTTGAACTGACTTCAAAAGATACGATTCTACTCTGATACTTTTAGTTTCAAAAGGGATTTGAAAACCATATTTTTGGCTACTGCATATATGAAGAATAGTAATGTAATGATCTTTGTTGTGTTAAGGGTGTAGCCTTAAACTCCCAGAAGTGATTAACATTTAACTTCTCGCTAAAATGTCCACACATTATACATCAAACAGGAAATGGGAATACTCAAATGCATCAGGTTGGAGTTGTTATCTTGAACTAACACCAAATTCTTGTAAAAAATTTGCAAGGAAATGTGTAGCAGTTAGTGGGGAGAATTTACAATCCAATCTTGGAAGTTAAAGGGTTAAAGTATGATAGAATAGTCTTCTGACATCTGACCGTCTCTTGTCTATTTACAAGTCCTGTTAAAGATACTGTTGTGACAAATGATCGATGGTGTGACAATGGATGTCTCTGCCATCATGGTGGGGTGTACACTTGCCACGACCGCTACAATCCAGGTGAATTGTAATATTGTTTTATCAAATATACTGTTGTTTGCTGAATATGATTTAATTTTTGTATGGCATGGTGGCCACCTTGCCCTGTTGGTATTAGCACCCATTAATTATTTTGAAGCCATTTCTTAAAGCCCTCTTCCAATTTCTTTAATTACAGTTTTCCTGCATGGATTAATGTATCCACTCAGCTTTAAGAAATTCTAATGGCAATTTACTTGTAAGAATCAATTTGTTACATATTTTCACTGCCCTTTGGCAGTTTGTGGTATTAGGGTTTTATAGTTGACTGCCCTTTGGCAGTTTGTGGTATTAGGGTTTTATAGTTGACGCAGTGGGTTGATACTGATTTCAGCGATTTTCTAAACATCATAAGTGGTGTAGCTTGGATTTCATTCAAGAGATGACTGTGTTAACAGGTTAACATAATCAACAGTTGACTGTGTTGGTGAATTTTTATTTTAACAAAGGCAAATTGCAAAATCACAAATGGGAGAATGCACTGACAGTGGACAAAGGATCTTGGGGCTACAGACGTAATGTAGACATTGGCTCCTATTTGACCATCAATGAACTCTTATATCAGTTGGCATCAACTGTTAGGTAAGGGTCTACAGCAAGGTCCTTTTGCACTTTAGATTTCACAGCAGTAACTTGTCAAGCATTAGTTATAAAAAGAATTTTTACTTGCACAAAAAGATTTAAAGATTCCACACAATCTGATCATAATTCTGTACTGTTAGTAAACCATGTGATAGTTGTAGTTAGTGTGGTATGTAATTGCACAGTTTGAGTTTAAGAAGAAGCATTGGAAGAGAGGCCTTTTTTTAAAAGAAGAACACCCTCTTTTAGAATTCTTCATTCACAATTTGCTCTATGTCATTGTTAATTTGGATTAGTTTTCCTCTCAAGTTTTTCCTTCCTTTGTTTTAGTTGTGGAGGGAACATGTTGTTGAATGTTGGCCCAACTGCAGATGGTCGCATTATACCTGCTTTTGAGGAGAGATTGCTTCAGATGGGAGAATGGCTGTGTATAAATGGTGAAGCTATTTATGGCACCAAACCTTGGAGAGCTCAGAATGACACCGTTAACAAGGATGTATGGTAAGCTTAGACAACATGGAAGTGATGCTGATAGTAAATAAACTCTCAGTTGTTATGCTTGAGTGGGCTTCTGGTCTTGCACTCTAACATGTTCATGTCCCTTTTTTATCAACACATAAACCTCTTAGACCCAAAGAGTGACCAGCATCTAATTTCTCCTTTCAGTAACAGTGCTGAATCATTCATTAAGTTTATAAGAATAAAGGAAATGATCACCTACCTTAGGAAGCTTTGATTGTTAAACAAATTCTCTTTGTCAGTACCAAAGGAAATGTATAGAGAAGAGTATGGTGAAAATGGATGCTCATGTTAGGGAGTAAAGGGTTAACTCTTTAACTCCCAGATCAAATTTGTAATTTTCCTTACTGTCAACCATACAATTCTTATGATGTTAGTTCAGAGAATTTAGTACTGAATCAACTAATTATCCTCAAATTGATATTTTTCTTTATTCTCATTACTTATCTGGTTGATATTATATCAATATTGTAAGGAGAAATTCTGTCTCGGTCATTTGTGGGAGTTGAAGGGTTAAGAGACAAAAAGAGACTTTTTAGCAATTTTTTACAGGGTGACGTGTGCCAACTCGGGTTTCATTTAAATGTTAGATTGTTTGGTTGTATTTATTTTGGTTAACTTTCACTGTATTAGAGATGAAACAATCAGTGTATTTAATGTTGCTTCTGTATAAAGTATCATGGAATACCTTTATTGAATAAATTTTTTTTTTAATCACCAGGTACACGTTAAAAAATGAGACTGTGTATGCCATTGTTCTTGAGTGGCCCTCTTCGGATCACCTGAATCTCGGAGCTCCAGTTTCCACGGCAGACACTCAAGTAACAATGTTAGGTTATGATGGAAAATTTCTTTGGGAGCCTGCCGGTGAAAAGGGTGGCATGGTGATTGTTTTCCCTCTCATTGCTGTTAACAAGATCCCTTCTAAATGGGCCTGGGTTTTAAAATTGGAAAACATTAAATGAATGCATCTTTCATCAAGCAATGATAACGTGAGCAAATCGCGTAGTTCCACAATTAATCACTAGTCACTTTTTTAATTACTTTGAACTTAAAGTAAACCACATTTGTAAAATGTAGCCATTTGTATCCTGTGGTAGACGGGTTTGCTTTGTACTGATGTAAAGAAGGAGATGATATAGGTGTCGTTAAAGAGGTAATCAGCCTAAGTTACTAAGAAATTTGGTCTCCTACCAAAATTTTTTTAAACAAGTTTTGTATGTTTTCTTTTCTTAGTAAAACTGATCACTTTTTGCAGTACAATAATAATAATAACTTAAGTTTGTAAAGGAATAATTAATTGAGCCAAGGAGCTAACAAATTGCTTGGTTCATTTTCAAACCTCTTAGTAAGTAGTTTTTGTTTCATTTCAGAATCGAAAGTTTTGTAGCGCATGTTCACGTGCTGAAAATATTTCACGATAGCTGTTTCTGCAATAGCCATAATTTTACTCTTAGCTCTTCGGAAATATTCTAAACCGAGGTTCTAAGTATGATTATTGTAAGGTAAAGAGAAGAAATTATTAAAAAAAGTTTAATATGATGGTGCTGGTGGTGTTGAAGTACTCTTTCCGTCTGAAGTCCTCTTTACGTCTGGAGGATGCGCATTAGTTTCGCACTATGTCTAGCTATTTGTACTCAACTTCTCGGTTTTTAGAAGGAGTGAATTTTCATGTTGAAATATGAGACAAAGTTTCAAGATTCGATCCTTTTATCTCACAGTACATAATATCAGCTACAATTCATTCCGCCCTAAAACGGGTGAGACCTCTTGTCATTGAAAATATCCTCCATGCCTGAGGAGAGTTACCGCATGTTTTAATAGAATTGTTTTGGTGGTTTTCACAGAGACATCGAACTTCTTGTTTAAAATGAGTACCACTGTATTATCATCAACTCACGTAGAGATATCAGAGCAAGACATGGTCAACGTTAATCTTCATATTTGAGTAGGTTTTAACTCTATTATCACTTTGGGAATTTTTCTAAATAAACACACATTGCCAACTCGTTTAGGTAGAATAATGGCTACAGCTTTTCCAAGTTTCCCCAGATTTGGAAGACGCGAAGAAGAGAAAGAAGGAAAGGGTGCGGAAGAATGAGGGGGGAGGGGAGGAGAGGGGAGATTGTCGAACGATGAGACTCCGTTACCTCCCCTTCCATTCCCTCGTCCTCTCTAGATCCTCCAGGGGATAAGTTTATTCATCAAAGCAATGTCAAAATAAGCGCCGTCTTTTGAAATAAATTCCAGCAGTTTCTTTGATGAGTTGCAAGAGAATACTCTCTTGCGAGTTGTTAATAAACCGTTTATTCGTTCTCTCCTTTTAAAGCGTCAGAGCTCTCTCCTTGCCACAGAATATTCTAAAAAGTACAGTAAAGTCAATTTTTCCCTCATCTCACACGTCAATTTACCTCACATAATGCCTCTCATTCCTCTGGATTCTCGATTAGTTCTTAAGCGTGAAAAAAAACACCTTGCACCTAGTCATTGACGTAGCAGCTGATTATTGGCTGCAGTTGTTAATCCATATTCATCAGGATTTGTAAAATTTTTAGCAAACCACGCTTTCCGTCGTAGAGTGAAGACGTGCCGTCTGTAGGGCTGAAAATTAAGTTGTACTCTGAAAGGAATAAGATACTGGACTGCAAAGAACAGTAACAAAGCATCCTTAAGCCACTACATCAAAAGGTGAGCATTTCTTTAAGAAAATATTTGCTTTAAATTTCTCCAAAGAGCTAAACGAGTCTTATCATCTCAGTTAAACGAGTTTACACAAGTCAGTTGCTTAGTCTTGAGCGGCTCTTCAACTCGAAACTTGATTGAACTAGGGTCTTGACTTCGAGAAAAGCAAAACCAGGGAAAGTGAAACATCTCGAGCGAAATTCATGGCTATCTTTTGCTGAAACACTGAATTAAAGACTTTAAGGAGGACATTCTTTAGTTGAAAACGCCACGTGGATATGTGACTACTTCTATTCAAATAATTCGGTAGCCGTGATTGCCTCGCCGTGATTTACATTTTGATAAGTTTTGGTGTTTTCCCTCCATTCTATAACTGTGTTATGGAGGAAAGAAATTAGACAGAGCTGAAATTTAATATTGATTGGAGAGAAAAAGCATTCCCTGATCAAATTCATTATTCACATTTTCAGGAGAAGCAAAGTTGTAAGAAGGATGAAAGGACAAAGATTCTAGCCAAGAGGAGACACTGGAATGACTGAATTGTTAGTGGATACTGCAAAGATAAGAACTTTTAAGTTTTTGAATAACAGTAGCAAAAATGGTGGCTCTTTAAATGTCTTGTTATTTCAAGAAGTCTTCATCTTTTCACTAACTGTTATGGAATGGATAAACCTGGATACCTGGTGAGTCAATAGTTTTCAATTATAGCCACCATTTTTGGACTAGTTTATACGAATTGTTATGCAGACCTTGAGCGATGATTTGGTACAATTTATCTCGTTACATTGAAATATGAAAATTAACAATTGGAAATTGATTTAACCTGGCTGAAGAAAGTTGAAATTGAAATCGCCTCTAATCGCTCAGTTTTGTTTGCTTAACAGTTAGTAGCACGGTTCCATCCCATTTGATTTCGTACAAAGGAGATATTCGTTAAGCTGGCACTCAGACAAAGACCCAATGAATTTAATTCTTTGAACAGGTGCATAAATTTTTGGCTGTTTAATTTGTATCAAAAATCGCATTGCTAAACACCACCGACTGACAAACAACATTTTGACTGGAACGTTGCAAGACGTCAATCATACATTGCTCTGCCTTAAACGACTGAAAAAGATCATTGCGCAACCAAAAAAGACTCCTCAACAGATTACGACAACAGACCTTCCCTCACTTTGACTCATAAACGGACTAACGCCATTTCAGTCTGACAGCCACTATTACAACACTGATCAACCAGTTTTACGAACCAAAGTTGTATCGTTCGACTTCAACTGCTCACTTGACTCTAACGATGACTTCTGCTCAGGCCAGTCCCTAATTTCGACAACAGACCTCTCCAGGACTACACTCACCTGATCGATCGCACTACACGATTGACAACGAAAAGCTACCAAGAGAAAAATTTGGCAAAAAATTTTTCTTTTAATTGAATTGCATTCTTGGCATGAAACGATAAAGCTGAAAAATTTTTTAAAAAAGGAAGCATTTGTGTTTTGTCCTGCACGAAGGAAAAAAGGTGACTAGTACAGTGCCATCTTAAATCCTGTATTCATTTCTTTGTACAATCAACTGGTGTTGGTTTTAGTGTAGAAGTTTTATGTTTAAAACTCTGATGCCTGGTCAAGAGCTTGTTTTGGAAACTGAGTGAATTGAAATTTAGCGTTTTATAAACCAGTTTTTAGAGCCCGAAATTTCAAGTACATTATATTTTATAGAAATGACGAAAATAAATAATTTCGCAAATCGTTGAAAAATAGTAAGCAGTCTGGACGAAAATCAACGAGAACATACGCACGAGCCAGTCTTTTGACGAACAAAAAATAAATACGACTATTGCCAAACGTTAGTTTTAATGAAAGAGCAAACTTGTCTCAAACAGACAGGAAAATGGAAGAAATCCTACTGTTATTTTCTCGAAATAGTTTGAACTTCAGCGAAGGCACGTTGCTAATTCGGACAAACGTGGACTGACAAATTAGGTGATTAATTAGTTTGACCAATGATAAAAGCGATGTTTTGTGTTCATGTTTAATACTTTCATCGATTAATACTGAACAAATAACATGGAAATTAAAGAAATTATAACCATATTTGCTCTAAATCGAATTGAAATTTGTGCATAAATGCATGTTGATTTTACCAAACCGAAGCGCAAACCGAAAACAGAAAGTAATAATATCCAAATCAAAGGTTGCGTTTATGTTTTATTCGTTTTGAAAAGCTAGTGTTTGATTATTTTCTACTCGTGATGGATGTGTTCTTGCTGGTTTATACAACAGGCAATTAAATTTAACTCGCAGTCGAAAAAATGAATCTCTTGCTGCTCTTCCGACCAGGCATTTGGTTTTAAAGTAATATGGAAGTTAATATCTTTATTCCTCGTTCTGAGTGGAAGAAAGATCTTTTGTGCAGTCATTCGGTGTAATACAGTGACACAACAAAAAACGTAGTTTTGAGCTTTAAATTTAGTTTATTATTCCATTGAAACTGACAAAAATTGAACGCGTTTAACGACTGAATCTCTTTCACAAAGTTATTGTAAGAACTCGACGTGATCGTAATGAACTTGGAGCTTAATTGTTATGTGCCCAGTAGAATCAAATTCAAAGCATTTGCTCCAATAGTTGATACTACTTTATTCTCAAATTGCTTCGCGAATTTATTGAAAAAAAAATTGGAGTCCAACTGTGAAAAGCTTGCTTCAATAATGGATGTGATTATTTCTCAAACTACTTCACCAATTTGGTCACACAACCCTGGAGCCTAATTGTGAGATGTCTTAGCTTTTGTGGCTAAATTCAAATTTAAAGCGTTTGCTCCAATAGCTTTTTTTTTCACTCAAATTTAGTCCAAATCTTTGATCATTTTTTGTTTTCGGTGCTTTTACAAACTGTGCCCTGTGTTACACTCGAAATGTGGCTGCTTTAAAGATATTTGTTCCGAAAAAACATCATGGCAAAGTATAATCTTACAAAAGAAAAAACAGGATTGGACATGTAGTAGGAAATTTTATGATTTGTAGTGGAACCCTGGGTTGCTTGCCATGGTGCTTTTTCGAAAGAACTTTCAGACAGTATCTCGTGCAAAGAATCGAAGTCCAAAAGAAAAAGGTTAGGAAGTCAAGATTTCTTAGAAACGAAACATTTAGAAAACCGTTTTATTTTTTTAAAACCACGATTCTTGGCACGAGATGTTGTTGAATTGTATTTTGGCGGGAATTTAAGAGGAAGTCTCGTTAAAATTTTTGCTGAAAAAGTTGCCAGGGGAAACTCTGTGCAAATTGGTCTAAATTTTCCCGCCAAAAGTCTTAGTATATATACGAATTTTATTTCTCGACGCCTTTTTAATAATTTAATTGAAAATTACCTTGTAATGAAAGAGAATAATAAAATGCTTTGTCGAATGTGAAACTTTTGTGGTTTATTGAGTGAACATTAAAAAACAATAAAAGATGAGACAGAACAACAGATGAGTCAACTTTATTGACTAATAGTAAATGATAATACAAGAAGACAACCAGCAAGAAAAAGATACAAATTTATTGGCAATGAAATAAAATTACAACTTGGGAAAAAAATCCGGCGCATGCGTATTTTTGAGCACCGTTTTTTTTTCTAAGTTTTTTGGCGGGAAAATTTGTAATATTTAAACAGCCCTTAACACGACTTTTGAGCCGACAAATTGCGACAACACTTCCTTACGTATGGCTACAAGTCGTCGATTTAAGCAAATAACTCTTGGTTCTCACTCGACTTTCTTGAGAGAAATGCACTTCATCTGTTTTGTACCTCTGAATAAATCTTGACTTTTCCTTAACCACAGCCTTTCTTGTTTGATTCGTGCTTGAAACAACAGTAATATTCACCCGTCAATCTGCAAGAAAATGAAAAGAAACAATAAATCATAAAATTCAATAGATCTTAATTCAAGCGACAGTCAAACGCTAAAAAATATTTCGCAATGTTGAATATGTAAAAATATAGAATTTAAGTCCTGTAGTGTCAAGTTATTCAATGACGAAACATGAACGTAACCTGGATTTACCGATAAATTCAATTTGGTACCCGTTAAATCTTCTCATAATTGTTGACTTGCCTTCCTCCTAACTGAGTTCAAGTATTGAAGCATTGAGTTGTTTAAATTTGAGTCATTAAGTTTTGATTTTGCATTCAAGCAAAAACAAGCAATAAATGTAAAAGTTCGCTGGCAATTCCTCTGAGAAAATCTTACAGAAATGTTAATAAGGCAATTGTATGATTAGAGTTTCATTTACAACTTATTTTCATATTTGCTTAACTTGCTTCGTTTTTGTAAAATTTCCATGTTACAAAAGTCTTTTCTTCTTCATATTTTGGTCTAAAAAAACGCCAAAGATGGATACGGTAAGTTTTCTGGTTTGAGACAAATCTTCTGCCCACTACCTTTTGGCATCATTATACAACCCTCTAGTTCTTTTGAATGCAAGAAAAATTGTGCCATATTAGTAGCCACGTGCAGTCTGAAACTACCTACCTTTTTTTTGTTTGTGATTGAAGTAAGTCAAGGTCTTTAACAATTGGTGGAAAAGCTGAATAGCTATTTGCGAAAATATACCTTATGCTTGTAGTTTGCCCTTTTGATTAGATTTTTCCGATTTAAAGGAAGTTCCACGGAAGTAGAAGTTACCGATAAGTTGAATTTACTAACAAGTTGAAGTAACTGATAAGTTGAAGTTAAATCAACTGATTGAGTCTAAAGATGGCGATAAGTTTCAGAACGACTAATAAATATATTTTTTTCGACTGAGGTAATTTTCCACCAACAGAAACAACGTGATGTTATTAATTCATCAGCCAAATAGTGCTATAATCGACTGACAATCACCTTAATCAAAGAGAAATTCACCGGAAATAGAACCGAAAAAAAAAACCAATCATTTCTTTGCTTGTAGGTTTCCTACATTTTCGACTCGTACTAGTTTTGAATTGCAGACATTCGATAAATCCAGGTTGATACGTTCAGTAGAGACCAGCAGACCAGACTTACAAGCGCAGATAGCTAATTCGTAAAAAAAGGAAAAATTAACTCACGTTCTTGGAAGTTGTCCTTTGTTCCTTTCTTGCCTAGAATTTCTTGATTGAGTGATAACCTCATTCTATGCTTGATGCTGCCCTGATGAGAGAAAAAGTAGAAAATTTATTTTGTGAAAATGTGCACACTTAAATTATGGTAACTGACTTGGAGCCACCACAGACTGGATTTACAATTTCGATGTTCCTAATTGAAAAAAAACAACAGGTAATTTTGTTTCCACGACAAAAGCTCTAACACAAAAATCGAAGATCGCTAAACTCACTCTGACTGAGGGTCTCAGCAAGCTGCAATCCCAGACACATTAGCTGGGACATTTACAGCTTCCTCCGCCTCTCTCAATTGGCAATTATCAACATTGAATTGGGGAGAAGGGTGAAAAAAAAAAAAAACTCAGACGTTATTCGGGAGAAGTATCCCAATTTATTACGTCTGGGAGTGGAGATCATTGCCATGGTTATCTGATAAGACAGAGTGTATTTCTATGAAATGTTCCTATGAAGCTATCAGTGTTCGAGAACCAACACACATACGTTAACTATTTAAGAAAAAATTTAAAAATAATAATATTAATATAAATAAAAATAAATAAGTAAATAAGCCATCAGTACACTGTCAATAAAGCCCGAGTTTCTCGCTGCTGCCCCTAACGTCACGTTATCCAGCAAGAACTGTCATGGCGGCTGCAATTAACGATTTGTCTTAAACTGAACTATGTGTGCATCCTCTTCCGTTCTACATCAAACTCTAAAATTAACTGAACATGAGCAACACCGAGAAACTCGAGCAAGGTATTTTTATCCAAAATGTATCTGTACGTAGGCATTTACCTTAATAAAAGTCGTGACATATTGACGTCCATTCATCCATCCTTGTCGTCGAGTTTAAGCCACTCCCTTCTGCAACTTCGAGGAAACACTCGCCAGCCTCTACAGAACGGAGAATTTCCAAGGTATTTGGGTGGGAATGATGGGTTTCTTGGCCCACAGAAGCTGAAAAAGACGCTGACATTTCTTAAAGTTCGCTAAGTCTTCCCACGTGCAAGACTGATCGAAAATATAAATATTAATGTTTCAAAATATTTGTAATTCAAATCAGTTTTCCGACCGAAAACCTCCGAAGAGCCCTTCGGTCATTTTCGTTAATTTTAGGAAGAGGTGCAAACATCGTTTTAATTCGAGATTAACAACAAATTACCTTGAAAAGCTTTCCAATCATTTTAAAACAAGCTTACTTGAACTGCCTATTATCTCAGAATGTTTCCCGTTTCCCTTGACATTTTGAATTAGCGGGACTCTAAAGTACTTGAAGTTACAAATATGCCGACACAACACGCCACAGAAAAAGGAACAGTTGTGTTTCGCAACCTTCCCCTCAGATAAGGGCACGTACATTTTATAGCAAAAATCTAGGAGACCGAAATAGTAAACTTCGTTTCGAACCTCCAATTCTCAAGTCACCCATATGTATTTGCACACGAAACCACTTTCAGGTCAAATCAACGATACTGAAAGACTACCAGTTGGAAAGAACGGTAAGCGAAAAGGGCTGCACGCTTTGATTCAATTCATATAATTTATTTCAAAGAGACAGCATGTTCTGGTTGCACACTTCCACGAAACACTGCTCAGTAATAAGACAGCAATAGTTCGCGATAGGAAGTCCTCAAAAATGTTCCAGTTTTTTTTTCCATTATTAGTAAAACGCTCTCATATTAAGGAAGTATAGTCGGAGTTGATCGCCCAAAGGCAAGTCTCCGACAAGACTCTTTCTGTATCAATACTTCTGTTCCCACACGAATAAATTGATTTGTGTTGCAAAAAAATTGTATCTTGCCAGGCATAAGGACAAATCTGCACACACAGGCAGACTTCCAAGACGACGCATTTCCTCAAAACTGTATCAGTTTGTTGTTAATATTGTGGAAGACGACAGCCCCATTATTTTGTACTCCATGGCTATTTCTTTCTCTCAATAAATCTCGGATATGCTGTAAACTCAGGCCAGCTACACCTCACCACTCACGGCAGAATTTCATTGATTTTAGTCAAACTTGTCCTTTGTTTGAGCGCTGTGATCCACGAGGAGCTAACAACAATCTACCCGGGCTTCATGGGAATCAACTCTCTAAGTAAAGAAGAGGTCCAGCGATGACTGCCTATCCTCTCTTACCCTTGCCGTGTCCCTGAAAATGCGAAAAGACCTTGTTGAAATGCCTTGCTCTGATATTCAGGGGGGATTTGTTCAAAAAAGGAACAGACGGGATGTACTTATTAGGGTACGAACATTTCTTATTGAGTGACATGAGCTGCATACTCCCACAGAGAAATTCCAGGTGCTCCAAGTAAGAGACAAACCCATGACCTTTCGAACAGTAATTCGAATACTCTGCATCTTATCCCACGAAGACTCGTGTTAGCTTAACTAATAAGGGACAAACCTACTACCTTTCGATCATTAAATCGAATACTCTGCTTCGTGTTAGCTTAACTATAAAGCTGGATTCGTACGATAAGCGTACTACAAATTGCTAGGATACCCATGCCGCACGCAGTGCGCAACTGCGCAATGTTTTCATTCAGTGGTAAGGCATATGAACTGCACCAGGCGTCAAATCAACCATGTATGTGCATCTCTAACACTATAAAATTTCCATCTAAAGAGACAGTTCTTTTACATAGCCACGTTTAGAAATTGTATAACCCATGCTTTTAAATCACTGCTTCCAGCATAGGGTGAGAACAACAAGAGAAACAATGGCAATAAGGAGAATTTATTATATTTATTATCCTGAACAAGGATATACATACCTTATTTCCGTTTGATTGATGTCTCTGATATTTAAAACTCTTCAAAGGATCCACCTTTCTCTTCTAAAGAAAAAAAAATAACAATAGGGCACATTAGACAAAACACGATAAACGCATGATCACCAATCTACCTTAGAGTTATTATCTAACTCTTCTCACAAGAGTAACAAATCCTCTTATTTCCTTGAGGCTACTGAATCTCCATGGCTTAACCCTTTACACTCTAACATCGATATGCATATTCTCCATTCTGTTCTCTTTACATTTCCTGAGGTGCTGACAAGGAGAATTAGTTCGACAATCAAGAGTCTAACGTTGGTGATCACTTCCTTTTTTTTTTTCATGACCTTACTGTGTGATTCCGGGGTGATATTGTAAGAGGAAATTGGATGTTTGTCACTCTTAGGGGCAAAAGGGTTAACTGGTGACAAGCATTACGTTCAGTCAGATGTCACGTTCTAGTAAACCTTCAACCCCTATGAGTGTCTAGCATCTAGCTTCTCCTTATAATATCGTCCCTGAAATACAAATAAAGGTCATGAGAATAAATGAAATGATCACCAACTACAGAAGCCCTGATTGTTGGAAAAATTCTCCTTGTCAGTACCTCAGAAAATGAATGTATGTATGAACAGTATGGAGAATGTGAATGCTGGTGTTAGGGTGTAAAGGGCTGATAGGCTAAAAACGTACGGTGCTGAAAAGCTTTCGAAACTGTTTACAAGTGAATATAACCTATTTCGCTTAAATTGAAACAATCCATCTGCAATCGACTACAACTTTAAACTGTGAAATGTCCATTGAGGGAAAAGCTATAGCGAAGTACAGAATATAGAAAGTAAACTGACCTTGTTGTGTGCGGTGTGAGCATTTTTTTGTGATGATATGAAAGGACGTCTTCTCTTTCGGGAAGATTTGGCCATGGACGGCCGCAGAGTGGGAGGAACTGCAATTAAGAATATAGAACTCAGAGAACTGAATTACTAGCGCACAATGACTCAACTAGCGGCAGTCGACAACTTACCGAGGTATTCGGGAACGTTTTTCAAATGAGGTTGAATTCTTGTGGGATGTAGATCTTTGTCATGTCTGAGCACTTGAAGATCTCTGGGATTTTCTTCGAAATATGCCTTGAAAAAAGATTGGACGAAAGTATTTCATAAAGAAATCAAATTTTAAATGGCCATAAGATTACCTTATAAGATCTCTTTCACTGCGAGGAGATATGCATTAGCCAGTAAGTTTTCCTCTAGGCGCTATTAACACAGAGATTTCAATAATTTTTTTCTAGAAGCGGATGTCATCGGTGTAGTAGGTGGCTGTACACGAAACCCAATCACGAGAGCAAGCAGGCAGGCTAAACAGATGGTTTATAGGTCTTAGAGGTCTCAGAAGCAACATTTGAGTCGCGTTTTCGTTGTATCAATAAACAACAAATAAATAACAAATTAACCATCCTTGGCAGTATGGTAAAGAAAAGCGTTTTTCTAGGAGATAGAACGGATTCTTACCTTCAGTTTTTCAGAATTCAGTATCTCGGATTTGATTTCTTTGAGACGCGCTTCTTTAACTGAAAGGTAAGTAAAAGTCAAATCTCGTGAAATTAGAAACATGTGAAGAAGAAAATGGATTACAATTGAGTTTAGTTAAATACGGAACAGAGCTCAATAAAATATTTTCCATCCTTTTTTGTTTTTTAACCTTGCAGATTCTCTCCAACACTGATTCCCCCCCCCCCCCAAGTAATTTTTTTGGGTTCCTACTAGTACCCTAACTAACTTATGATAAAATTACACCTATATCCTCGCATCCAAACAAACGTCGAAGTTGAGATTAATTTCTAAAAAAAGAGATGATTGCTAATAAAGTTTATTTTGCAAGCATGCAACTGTACTAACCTGCTGATTTTGTGACTGCCCTCAGTGCGTCCTGATGAGGATAAAAGAGCAAATATGAAATTTTTGCGACAAAAATTTGAAAGAAAACAATTTAAACGACAAGGGAATGATACAGCGACACATTCTTCTTCGGAAGTTTGTCGATACAGATGATTACGGTATCGAGCTACTTAAGGCGCATGTGGATCCAGAGGACCCTCCCTGCTGGTAGCCCTTTGCATGGCCAAGAAGTGAGCTGAAATTCTATTATAGATTATCGTGCGTTGGAAAACAAGTTGACTTAACAGAATTGTTATCATTTCCTACGTCACCAAACACACTGTTGCAATTGGCTCCTAAACCAAGGCAGCATCCTGCTACAAGAAACTGCACTTACCTGTGCACGATACCTGAACCCCTCGATCTCCTCCATTTTAAACTGATAAGGTTTAAAAATTTCTTTTTTCTCTCCTAGAACATCCAAAATTATTAACAATTATTAACATCTCTACCTGACCATTACAATGTCTTCAATTATGTCACTTACATAGACTTTGCGTCTTAACGTCACGTCAAGCATACACTGGATGTTTGTACCTATAAACTCCTTCGTAAGTTCCTCTTCGGCCTTTTTCAGCATTTTATAATCATTGGCTGTCACAAAGGACAACGCAGTACCGTCATTGTCACCACGGGCCGTCCTACAAAGTGGAGACAATAACGCCTTGATTAAAAGACAACGAATGTTTCCTACATCAATGGAGCAAAACAGAAATCAATTCTTCCCAAGTCAAATGAGCACATTTTACAAAGTTCAAGTGCAGTAAGCTTTGCCAGTGACACTTCAATTTTACTTTGCCTTTTAAGGGCCCTTACCATTATCATTTCAGACCGTTGCTAGGGGTAAATTTAACTGATTGTAACTCGCCATTATTTTGCTGTTATTGGCCTAACTTTGAACAGGCGTCGTAGAAAATGAGTGAAGGTTCGTTGACACGCCCAATGTTACGCGACTCAGAACAAAGTATCTGCCGGTTTAGATTTAATTGCTTTTTGCGTACCAACCGCGTAGAGTAGTAAAGAGATAGTGGTTAGGGCCCTGGAGGTTAAATGCAATTTCGTACCTTAAAACAAGGAAGCATAAAGAAACAAATACACTGTCAGTGTGCCATATTCTTCGTCAAGATTGTTAACAGGAGCTAATTTGGAAATTCAGGGAGGGTTGAAGAATGCCAACTAACTAGTCAAGCTTCTCCATAAGTGACTGAAACGAACAGCTCCCTGTCAGGTCCTCCCAAAATGGAGGCGACCTGCACAAAGAGAAAGAATTTGTCCAGAGATGAAATGAAACTTTTACCTTCCTACTCTGTGAATGTAGGCATCAACAGCTGTTGGGAAGTCAAAATTTATCACATTTTCAACTCCTAGAAACCCAAAAACAACCAGAAAGAAGGTTAGTGACCTGAGTTCCACCTGCTTAATATTTCATGTCCATTAAATAACTCCAGTAATACACTGTGAGGCAGACAAGATGATTAACAAAGTAAAAAGACAACTTTTAGCTATGGGATTTTTCCTTGACTAAGCAAATCTTAAAAAGCATGAGCAAAATTAACGGGCTAAAGTTTCTCATTTGACATCCAGGAAGGGATGCTAGTCCACTGTGGGTAAACTACTCCGAGTGATGTGTCATGTTTACCAAATTGTCTTTGTAGCAGCCATTTATACTCCTAGACCTAGTAGTAAAAAGGATGGATAACGCTATCCAACGGATAAATCGCTATCCAGCGGATATGGTTAGTCCAGTGTGCTAACCCTCAGTGATTGCACATCACTCACTGTTTCTATTCAAGTTAAAGTAAGTCATCACTCAGGCCAAGTGTCCCTAGTTGCTGGAGTTTATCCTAGTTCCCTAGACAAGGGGTAAAGCTATCCTCTTTGGATGGGATGCCAGTCCAGAGAAGGTTATCTCTAGCAATCCATTTATAGTTTCCCTGACAGTTCAGATGTAATTTAAGTGTATGTGCATTTGCCCTTGAACACAAGACAATCACAAATCAGGATCCCAATGTGCTACGTCTTCCCAAGTTTCTCTTCAGGGGGAGCTCAGATTTGTGTCTTAGTCTTTTATTCTGAATACAAACCTTGAAAATCCACTCCTCGAGACACGCCATACTCTTTGTCCTTCTTTCTTCTGAAGGAACAAAATATGCGCAGAGACAGATTTCAGTCACTGGATACAAATTTGAAAGTTTGATTTATACCAATCAACTTGAATTTTCCTACATAACCAGTCAGGGTTTTCAAAAGGCCAAGTAAAACTTAGAAAATCAAGAAAAATAATTCAAATGCAGTAATCAAAATTTCTCTCAAAAGAATGAGGAAAAAAAAGGTGGCTTTGCACTGCCAGCATATTGATGAGATTGACATACGTTTTGATAAAATCTTAAGGGAAACATTAGTATATCCCAACAAACTCTGAAATAGTCAAAATTTAGTCTTTAACTGGATTGATTTGAACAGTGTCTAGTATGCACAAAATGTAGAACATGTAAAAATGTTTCATTCCACATTTCAAGTACATCTTAAATTTTTGTAAAGCTTAAAAGCAAAAGAAAATCTGTGAAAAAGAATCAAAAGTATTCAATGTTCCTAAAACAAAGAGATAAAAACTTTGACAAAGAATCACATCAGTATACTCACTTCTTTTTCTTAACATTTGCTGTTCACATGATTTCAAAGTCAAAGGAAACAAATCTTGAACACTTGAGGCAACATTTTTTTAACATCAGCTGAAGTATGAAAACCAGTTCCCAAGACTGGGAGTAACAGTAGCCTTACACACACCAGCCAATTACACCTAAAAACTTCTGCACTGCAAATGTTTGCTTTGCGTTGAGCAGACTGGTCAATATGAAAATTACTGAAATTCACATGATCATTTTTGCCCGAAGTCTACAATAACACAATAAGTCTATTGAAAAATTTGGATTGTGGATTGCAAAACAAAAAAAAACAAACACACACATAGAGTAAATTTCTCTCATGGAAAGTTTTAAATCAATGCAGATTTAGATTTTAAGGAAATAAGATTAGCTCATCATCTTATTACATTGATATGAGTTTTGTTGCACTTAATCTCTAAAAAGGATACCAGATGGTGTAGCAACAGCATCAAACACACTTTCGTCAGATGCAATGATGTAGTCATAAATGTCTCTGTTGAACTCCTCTACTATATGTAATCTGAATGAGACAACATACAAGTGCATTTGTTAAATTCTAAGTTTGCTCTGTCCATGTGCCTTGTCAAAAATATTTTTGGTACGCTTTGCTCAACAAGAATATACTTACATGTAAATATCTGATAATTAATCAGGTGGTTACCACACCAATCTCTGATTTAGAGTCATTACATGTACTTGTGTATTTTGTTTTTTGACAGAGTATACTGTTTGCTATAAATTTTGATGTGTTACCCCAATAGACAATTTATCTTTTTAACTCCCAGGAGTGATTGGCATGAACATTCTCCTTACAATTCCAATACATCATTCAGAAAAGAAGTACTGAGAGTAGACAAACTGATCAGCTGGAGGTTGTTGTCTTGATAAAGAAAATACACAAGAAAACACTCAGTAGCCATAAGGGAGGATTACAAAGCAAATCCAGGGGTTTGACCCTTCAGACCCAAACACTAAAATTCATGTTCTCCACACATTTCGCTTTACATTTCCTATGACACTGACGATGAGAACTTTTTTGACAATCAAGAGCTTATAACATTGGTGATTATTTCCTTTATTCTAACAACCTTTACATTTCATTCAAGGGTGATACTGTTGAGAGATATTAGAAGCCAGTCACTCTAGGGGTCAAAGGATAACAAAAGAAGGTATTGTGGCCAAAGGTCAGTATGCCCAAAATTGAATTCCACTAGGGCAAAAACGGGATTAACTTGTTGGTAGTCTTGACTAAAACACCACATTGCAATTGCAAAAAACCCTGTGGGTGTCCCACTTGAGAGCTGGGGTTACTGTTGTTAATCATGTTTTGTTTAACTTCAATTGTTTCTCTGTGGGTATCTAGTAGGATTGAGCAGCAATATGTTACACTTGAAGCTGGAGTGGTGGAATACACCTCTAATAACAACATATACATTACCATATTTACCTTGAATTATGAGGTAATTCAGAATTTAAAACACAGGCTTTGATTGAAAACTGTTCAAGAAATAGTTTAAGTCTGCAAAACAAGAGTGCTGTCAGCATACATGTACACCACTTAATAAGTTACTACTAATAAAATCATGTCTGTGATACATTTCTTTACATGTTAAAAGGCAAACAAACTTTCAGTTTCATGAGTATGTAGTGAAAAAGATGTTCCATGCATAATTTACCTGTAACATCTATCAATGCCATTAACAAACAGAATTGTCTTCCCTTGAACAAGCCTATCAAAAAAAAAAGCCAATCACAAATTACTGGCCTAAAAATTCCTTCTGTACAAAAACTACTCAAGGATCCTGAAAAAAGCAAAAACTCAACCACACACCAGGTAATTCTACCTTAATTTGAGCAGGGTATATATCAAGAGGAACTTTTCCTCCATTTCACATCTGAAAATAAGAAAAACAAAACAAAAAATGAAAAAAAAATTCAATCAAAAACACACACAACCTACAATCCCCCTACTTTATTAAGATAAAGGGCTTGTGCTTGAAAGGTCAGTTGAGGATAAAATTTATTAGTTTATCATTGACCATCTAAATGAACCAACTACATGTACAAAAAGCTTGTCAACAAAGTGTACCACAAGCCAACTGTTCATGTATTGTAATATGCTAACAATGATAAATGTGAACCTTTCAAAGGTGTCTCTGGGAAATTGCAAGAGAGGAACTTTGCTTCTCTTTCATGCTTTGCACCTTCAGTGCAGAAAAAAATTAGCTCCTCTTTCCTCTTTACATATTTAAAAAAATTGTCTCTGCATTATCTGATTACATTTTGTACAGTTACATGACTGTATTGTGTTGTTTGTTGCTAGATTGAACATACTTTATAAAATACTGGGTAAGTTTGTCATCTGACGGAAGTTGCGACTCTTGAAGCTTGAGAATGACCTGTCAGACACATTTAAAAGAGTACAAAAATTTGTAATGACACAACGAACTTGCATAAATGCAATGGCTGATTAGAGGTTACACGTGAAATACACACGAGGTTCACTAAAGCTCAAGACCTCTAAAAGATATTGGCAAGCACCTTTGTCTTCAGCTGTATAATAATAATAATAATAATAATAATAATAATAATAATAATTATAGTAACTATAATTATAATACACTTTATCTAAAGAGGGTGGCACTGAATAGTTAAAATAACTGAAAAAATTGTGGCCATCTATCTAAAATCATAACAGAAATAAGATATTACATGTACAGAGTGTACACAAAAAATTACGAGCTAGATGAATTGAAAATGAAACTACAAAATGTCAATATATGTCTGAGTATCAAACTTTAAAAATGTCTAAAATTATGATAAAATAGGATAATAGGAATATGAGGTGTAAAACAAGAATTAAAAGCTAATGATAAATTGAATATTAAACTACAAAATGTTGTAATTTCTGTGGCATATCAAAAAAGTTTTTCCCATAGATATTCTTTAAAAGATTCTTTTGATCTGGAATTCCTGAGTTCCAGGCTTAAGCTGTCCCAGTGTTGGCAAGTTTTTTTTTTTTTTTTACATTGAATTTACATTCTGCTCTAGATAAACAGCAACAAAAAAAAACTAAGAAATAGTAAGCACACTTACTGGATTGTGAAGGACAAGCTTCTTCAATGCAGTAACATCCTGATAGAGATAAATTTTAAAATACTTATCACAGTGGGAAACATTGTAATGATAGTTTCTTACTCTCTATGGCACTTGACATTTCAGTGCCATAATAAATTATAAATAATTGTTATTCATTCAGCTATCTGAGTCCCAGTGCATGAACGGTATTCAATGTCATTTGCTCTGGTAAATATTTTCTATAACAATCTGGTAATTAGTAAAAAGTGCCAATATCATTATAGCTATACATTCTGTAATTTTAATCCAGCTTAGCATATTTTTGTATAATCCAACTATTTTTTCCATATTTTATCTACTCAGAAGGAGAATACATGCATCCCCATCTTACTTTACTCTACTTTATTACTAATAAATCTAAAGAGAAAATCCTTTTAGGTTATTCTAACAAGTAATAAACAGACCCACAATACACACCTCACTTAAAGTTGCAGACATTAAGAATGATTGATAAATCTTTGGAAAATGGCTGCAAAGACATCAAGTTTCAATCAACACATTAATACCATTATTTTCATCTAAGCATGGTAAAGTTAGTGGAGTTCTACTTTTCAATATAGTGAACATGGCTTGTAACAATTACCTCAGTAGAGATTTGAGATCATGTTCATAGCCATACGAGAACACAAGGTCAGCTTCATCAATAATTAACATCTGTAGACTGGCTTTAAGGTCAATATTCTGAAATAACAATCATAAAAAGTGAAGAAAAAATATCTCAAACAAGGGTTTTGAGTCATTTTTAAAATAACTCAAAAGTACTGCTGATCAATTTTAAGCCCAAGGTTTTTGGATTTGTTTCTTTGTTGTCTGACAATTTCCTTTTTCTTATGGATGAAATTGTTTTGAAACTACAAGTGTTTTGTTTTTTCCTCTCAGAAGAAACAAAAGGGTAAGTGTGCTACATGAATCTGATTAAGTTTTTGGGTTGGGCAGATAAAAGAACCTGTAACTTGGTAATTCTTCCTATACAATCCAACTTCACCCAAGAATCATTTCTGATTGTAATATGCATGTATTTGTATGCATGCTGTATACAAAAAAAGGTGACCTATGACTTAAAAGAATTATTCTTGTAGGTAAATGTAATGGACAAGAAAAGATGTTTGGAAAATTCTTTGCAAATAAATTATAGAGATTATTTTTCTTTGAATGTTGTGCAAAAAAAGGACAAAATTTTCCTTTCTGAGGTTTGGATTAAAAAAGCTGAGGGGTGTGATAAATCAAGCACTCAAGAAAAAAGTATATGTCTTGGTCTTTTTGTCTCTTTTGGTCACTTCAGTGATGGACACTTAACTTGAATCTCTTGGGGTGTTCCCCTGTGATTGGTTGTCCATTGAACAGTTGACAGTACATGCATAAGTTAGGGTAAGGAAATATAGTAGAATAATGAAATACAAAGAAAGCGATTGCTTATAACAGCTGTCACCAATAGAGGATAAGGGGTTAAAATGTAGGGTTTAAAATGTGTACACACATGGCTGGCAACAAGATTCAGGGTGTGATCAAAAAGTCTACTGCACATGAGCTATCTGTTGGCACAGGGAAGAGTATCAACTGTAGTTAAAAAGTGTTATTATTTGTATTCTCAAAAAAGCCTAGCAGCCAGCATTTTCACTTGCCACTGAAGTTCCAGCAGCTTAAATAGACAACACAGTCAAAACCTGTTTTGATCAGAAATAAATTTAACCTCTGCCTGTTATTTTTTATGATTGGCAGCTTAAAATTTATGGAGAACACTAGCTCTTACTAACAATTATAGATGAATAAATAAATACACTCACTTTGGCTTGAACATGACCTAGTAGCACACTTGGTGTTGCAACCACTATATCTGGACACTCCATCAAAAGTGACCTAAATGAGAAACCAACGAATTTCACATAATGTGCACTAATACAATTATTATCTTCTCCCTGAATAAAAGTACAGCTGCTCATAAAGTTAATACTTCCTACCTGAACCATACCTAGGTCTGACTTCACAACATACAGGAATACAAATTGTAAATGAACATTTGTTGGTAAAATTATCTACCAAACCGAAAAAGCTACAGTATACCCTGATCTGACTTCATAACCTTTAAGAATACAAATAAATTTTCAATATATTTTAGTAAAAATTATCTATCAACAAAGACATAAGTTTCATTTTAAAACTACTGGAAAAAACTTTTTTTGGTGGCCAGTGACCCTCTAACAATGTTAAAAATGTTCTTCTCAGTAATCTTTAACAGTCTTAGAATCCTTCCTTGATAGTATCTTGTTAGATACCATTTTGGGTAATTTTGACTCAAGACTTTGTTGGCAAGCTACATCTTATTACGTTATCCTTTGGAACAGTCACATGTCTGTACAGGGACTGTTGGGGTTTTATAGCTCTCCTAATGATATAGAGATGTCAATAACTTTTTTCATAAGCAGTTGCCAATGGTGTTGCAGTAATAGGTGGCTGAGTGATAAGGTGAAACCCCAAAAAGAGACCCTGCTTCCAGGCTAAACAGAAGATGGTGAGAAGTTGTCTTACAGACAATAACCAGCTTTAATTGAGACTCATGTGGAAATCAGATTATTTTATCTTTGCCACTTTGCAATATACACACTAATTCTTATCCTTACCATAATGCTTTAATCAGGGATAATGATGTAAGAAGGCTTTTTGCCTCCCAGTGATCAAAATTAACTTAACCAATAGGAATCTTACCTCTTTTTTTAATTTCAGTGAGATTGCACAATATACCAAGCAAAAGATAGACATAAATGTTGCAAATCCTTGCAAAAATATAGGTAATACTCACTTGGTACTAATGAGATTTCCTTGTGCAACATCTGCAACTTTGATATCACGAGAACAGTAACAGGATAATTCCTATAATGAGAGAAGAAAAATAACATAGGTTAAAGAAGTTTTGATTCTTGTCAAAAATCTTTCATTGTATAAAAATACTCTATCTTGTTTTCAATCTTAACATAATATTCTCTCAGTAAAACCTACAATTCGCCAGAAGTACATATCATATTAAAACCAGAATTTTCTAGTCCCTCAGGTACTGTTAAACATTTTTGACATGTACATACCTTAATGTTCCGATGAGCTTGCTTTGCAAGTTCTTTGGTGGGTACTAGTACAACAGATCTTATACCACTATTTGAAGAATTTGCCTGCCAGAGAGAACAGTTTCTTTATACCTCTGGCCTGGATGTTCATTTATACTAAACAGAGAATCCAGATGTAAATTAATGTTAAAATCAACAAACCTGTTTATCTTGTAGGATTCTCTGTATAACTGGTATTGCATATCTAGATTGATAAAAGAAACAAAGAAACATAGAAAGCTTTAATTTTGTTTACATCCCAGTAACATAATCATTCATACAAGCTGGCCTTTGAACAACTCTGCCTGATCACATGGTTGGGCCTTGGACAGACAATGCATGCATTCAGACACAGTGTTAGAAGTATGATTGGGTTCATTTTTAATTGAGAAAATTCAAAGGCACTGTTTTCATTCATGAATATATTTGAATTATGGTTATTTTGTTGGAGACTGGAACGTAAAATTAAAGTTAAGCAGTTGTGGTTGAGCTGGTGAGATCTTTTGTGGAAAACTTTCTGAGTGATGACGGATAATTATCTTGAAGCGAAAACATTGAGCATTATAAGTTAAAAAATAATAACTAGGATACACTTCTGCATTTTATTTCTGGGTAAACTGTTGCCGTTTTCATGTGACTTTCATGAAATAAGTGCAATTTACCAAGAATAGTTTCACTGGCAAATATCCTAAACAGCCTCTGCGGCAAACTCAGAATCTCCTCCTTTGTTTATTCATATTATTTTTGAAAATGAACGTCATATTTTTTTGTTATCAAGTTTCACTAAAAATCATCTGCACACGCAATGCCGCAACAATGTCGAAAGCTGAGACACTTCAGGGTCAAATATGCAATGAATTTCCATTGCAAATAAAAGGTCAAATCGGTGTCACACACCAAGCAGGACCCTTGAAATAATTGTCAATAAAACCAAGAAAGATGAATCAAGATGATATAAACAGATAGAAAGTAGCCGATTTAGCAAAACCACGACACGGGAATCAAGACAGGGTTATCTCGATTTGACTAAATCTGTAAACAAGAATACTGTTCAAACAAGATCGATGGCAGGATCATAGTCAAATAAATGGCTTCATTGGCTGTCGATGCTCTACATTTGTACAAACGGATATTTAAACTTAATTCGTTTGTCCAAGGATGGAACGATTTCTCGCTTTCTATAATCCCGGAAAAGATAAAACCAAAGTAAGATACGGTCGTTCTGCATTTCAAGAACCGGTGAGTATCGAGCGAACGTTAGATTGGTACTTCGAATTGCCCGTAACAGAATGATAAACAAACAGTTTAAAGTTTTCCTTGGAACGTTAAACGGAAATAATTCTTTTAAAACGGATAAGCAAACCGTTTAAACGTTTTTGCTTTAGTGTTAAACGGATGCAAACTTTCTTAAACGGATGAGCAAATCATTTCAACGCTTTCATGAACCGTTTAGACGGATTTAAACGGATAGCAAATGGTTTCGCAGTTTAAACGGGAAAGCGTTAGTTTCCGTTTTCCCATGGAGGGTCACAATTACAGACTACTTCACTTACGCTGCCGTTTTTCCTGACCCGGTCATGGCTCTCGCTAAAATATCCTTGCCTTCCAAGGCCAAAGGGATGGCCTTCTCCTATAGAATAAAAGTCTATTGTTAAGAGAATTGTCCCAGAAGAATAAAAGCAAAATGGAACAAGACAAAATGCCTGCTCGTTACTTATGAAGATTTTAAACATATTGTATACAAACAGCACTAACCTGGATCAGTGAAGGTTGTGACCAATTTAGCTTGGCAATCGCCTTATAAAACAAAACAGAAGAAACCGTGAGGATATAAATACAACTGGCTCCTTATAAAATCGCGAAAATATTTCTAACCTTAACCAATCGATCGTCTAAACCCATTTCATGAAAAGAGCTACTTTCTTCAACCTGATCCGCCATGTTGTTATTTTTGCACGTGGGGCGAAATGTGAGCGCATGTAACCCACGGCAAAGGTTCTGCAACATACACAGGCAACATCGCGGGCTCCAATTCCATTTTCCACCTGTCGCTCAGGAGGGTCTTTCAATTAGTTTTACCAAACCGCAGCGAAGCTTTTAAGTCATACCTATAATAACAAATGACCTACACGTTTAAAAATCTTAGACAGGAAAAATTAACTGCAAATTAATTTTCTCTGGATGATTTTAGCAGAGCAAGGAAATCAACTTACAAACTTGGCAACTTATCAACGTTAAGGAGTATTATACCGGATGTTCAATGTTTGAAGAAAAAAAAAACGCGAAATTTTATTGACGAGATATTTCAGAAATTATTATTTGAGATCAGTAGGAGGCACTTATTAAACCAATCACTTTGAGAAGTTCATTTCGGCGAGATAAACAAACAGTCGCTTATGCGCGCATGGTTGATTTATCTCCCAAAAGATTACAATTAATTTAAAACTTCTCGCCATTGAGGAATTTCCATCAGTGACAGAAGTCGCAGGTAGCAAGATATAAAGCGGCGTGCATCTTTTAACATTTTAACGTCATAACGAGGAGCCTCGCGTCGTAAATAGGTCTGAGGTTGCTATACAGACAGTAAGTCAGGTAAGTGAACGCATATTTCCATAGTTTTTTGTCTATGTTTATAACTTACCTTTATTAGTCGTTATATTTGAACAAGTTAGCATCTGGCGATTTAGTATTAATTTTATTTATATTTCTTTTCGGCGTCATAAAACAAGAGCATAAACACTGACTCGGAAAATTGGCATAGTTCAGAACTTGTGGGTAAATAAACCAACAATTGTACTGGGAATTCACGTTTGAAGAAGGAGCAAGTTGAGGAGCCACCACATGCGGGAAAGATGAACTTGAAAAGGATCATTAGCATAGACGCTTCTGAAACTGACTTCAAGCGATAAGCGAGACAAAATGACGGCAAATGGAAAAGTAAATAAGAACAAGGTGATTCCGGTTCAACTCGCGACAGAGGAAGATGAAACTGTTGAGGAGAATAGAGGAGCGCAAGCTTGTTCGCCTGAGAACGCTGAAGAAAAGGAAAGCCCTAACTTATACAAAAAAGTACGTATGGTTTCTCCCTTGAAATCAGCTGGGCAAGCTAAGTTAAACGTGTCAAAATGGCGAAAGTATGCCAGGAGACGAGCCGATATAGCAGCTTGGCGTGAGCATCAAAAAGCGCGAATCGACTTTCCGACAATCCGCGAAAGCCAAAGACAGAATCATCAACGTATAAACGCGGCGCAGTTGAGTGATTTGGAAGAACTAGTGGAAATAACCTCCATCCACCAAGGGCATAGGAAAGATGGCGGGGTTACAGCTGTGAGCTCACCCAGCCGGGCTTTGTTATATTATTTTGCCAAGCTGGCCGCGTCAACTCGTGAAGAAGAGGTAATCGATTTGGAATTTGTAGAGACGCTTATTCAGAATGGCGCTTCCGTGAACACGGCGGATCGTCATGGACAGACACTTATGCACGAGGCAGCAAGGCAGTGGGATTTGTCCGTTGCTAAGTTACTACTTGAACGAGGTAAGGGAGAAATAACTTGAAGGGTTTTGAACTCAGTGCATAATAGTCTGGTGGACTAACGTCTAAATTTTTAAATTGCTTTTAATCGTTAAAACTACTCGTAAACATGGGGAGGCAGATATGTACAAGTCATTATTGGTTTTGCAAATATAGTCACGTCAGTAATTTTTATCTCAGTGCTGCAATCACTTGTGGCTTTGGTTGAGGTAGCATTTTTCTTCTAAGCGCTCTTTATTTCAGACGCATTTTAATTAATTTCTGAAAATTTTAGGAAAGATTCTTCAAAAAAGCTGTTCTCACAAATGCACGTAACTATACATCTTCAGAGGGCTTCTATGTTATAGCGAGAGGAACGTCAAATATTTCCTTATTTGCATGGAGACAAAGAAAACAGTATTCGTGATGTACAAAGCACTGAAAGGGTGGACAGGATTTTCCTTTCTTATCGTGATCTTATCATTTATTCTAAGTAAATTGGAATTAGTCAAATGATAAGCTAACATATGATAGGTAATGAAAATTATTACCACCGACTGTTTCTCATAAGCGTTGAGCGGAAAGAAAATGCACAAACACTGGTACATTGTGGCATCTCAAATGATCCGAAACTGCCAAAACAATTCTTGACCGACCAGTAACTTAGAAATCTACGCTCTTTTAAAATGGTGTCAGATTTTAACTTCGCAAAGAAAATTTGCAAATTGCGCAGTAGGAATTATATAGTTCTAAAATTATTAGAGGTTTAGAACTACTTTTTGGGAGCAGATGTTCGAATACAACTCATGAACATTGACATGGAACAGTTTTAAATGTCTTTATTGTTTCAATACACTCTAGCTCACTTTATGGATTCACTTTGCATTTAGGCACCAATTGACCGTCATTTGCTTTTTGGCGCGATTTTTGCCGCGCAATAATTCATTTCTTTCTTTCAGTCTAATTCAAACCTATGCGTAGTCTGTAGTTTTACAAAACATTCTTACTCCAAACTTTCCAAAGTAAACATTTACCTAGAACAGGTACGGTTTGCTCCGTTTTTATTGCTTTTAGAAATTTGAATTTGCGTTTATCTCTTTTTCCATTTTCCTGAAATATTAATTACGAAAAAAAACAAATTGTATAGGTAGCCAGTTAAATGGCAGCTTCTAATAGCGTAAATAGAAAAACAAATTAGCACTTTTAAAAGCGTTGAAAACATAATCTGCAGGTAATCGCAGATGTCTTCGTTCTCACCAAAAATTTCTCAAGGGAAGTAAAAACAACAACAACAAAATATTACTCATGAAAAACTCATACCCATACTAATGATAAAATAGAGAAATATTTGCCATGTATAGGAATTCCCTTAAATTCTCTGAACATTTTTCAAACAAACAACGTTTTCGTTTCATCAGGTTTTAAAGCGTATTATTTCAAAAGCGTCGTGTCTCTAACGTCAGCCCGATATCGTTTAAGTCTCTAGCACAGAAAATGTTTCAGAGAGGGTTTTATGATATTTATATATCAATTCACTTTGCACCTTGAACATCACTGGGTTGTTCACTATGGTTTTTGTTTATGGCAATAGTCATTTACGGCTTCCGTCATATTGCACATAATCTACACATAACCTTACTTCAAAGTAAGCCGAACGAGCTACTCTGAGCATATAGTAACGTCCTCGTGTTAAAACGTGCATCACTCTATAAAAGTAATTATATCTAAGAAGACTTCGGCTAAAATTGATTCTAAGAGCTGTTGTTCGATGATGGACCATAGGTTTGTTGAACACAAAGTCAACTTAACAAAAGTTTATAGCTTTTCCTAAGGGCAAGGCACAGGTAGACTTAAGCTCGTCAAGGGCTTAAAATATGCGGTAGGGAATAGACGAGTGCTTTCTTAAATAATTGAAGATTTCCGAGCGCGCAAAGAAACTGAAATGGTCACCTCCTTGTGCCGAACATTCAAATAAAGGAAGGCGTCTATGGTACTCAATTAAATTAAAAAACACCGCACAACTCGGCATGCAATCTAATGTGATTATTTTCAGTTTCATATCAGCTTTTTTATCCATTTTCTACAAAGTTCAGTTCATAATGCAAATTTATTTTGTGGAATGGCTTCATAAGAACTTAAAATGTGGACACACATTTGACTTCTCGTGCGACGCGCCAAAGTTTGAAGGCATTAAACCCAAGACATGTCTTTGCTGAACTCAGCAGTATTTCAGTGGTGGATATGGAAACTATAGATGACAAAATAGATGCCTGGTACGTTGGACCAATTTAAAATTGAGGGTTGAAAGCAATCTTTGTAATTGGTCAAGAAATTTCACACCACTCTCTCAACCAATGGGATTGACACCAATTGCCACTTAGTGGCTTTTTTACTTTGAGCTTTCATTGGCTCATTAATATGTATCTTCGATTTGATTGGTTGCCTTGATTGCATTGGTTTGGGTTAGATTCATAACACTCAATCGAAATCCGCTTCAGATTACAGGATCACTCCCAGAAGGTTATCCCACTCTTAGAGTAAAATAAGGTCTACACCCATAAGTTATATCAAGCACCAATAGCTCCTTTTTGATCATGACGGGGAAACTGTTCTGGACCTAGTGGGAGTGTTTTAAAATAAACGATGTATAACTTCCTACACAGGGGCATCTATCAATCAAGCTGACAAATATGGCCGCACCCCTCTGCACGTGGCAGCCGCGGTGGACTATCCTGAGATGGTCCATTTCCTGGTGCAGCGAGGCGCAGACATTCATGCTAAGACAGGCAAAGAACTACAGACACCCATACACTTTGCTGCACGAAACGATGCAACTTCCTCACTTAAGATGTTGATGAAATGTGGCGCTTGTATAACCGATAAGGATTTCAAACAGAGAACCGCTCTGCAGGTCTGCACTAATGACTGGAGATAATTTTCAACGCTGATCCGTTTTTATAGAAAAAAAATGTATGTCGGTTGGTGGGTGCGCTATTATTGACACAATCACACAAAGTTCGTGTCAAAAGTCAACATCAGTTGGTGCACCACCTACACTTTGGTGTTCACCGCAAGACGTCATGAGATTGTTACTTACTCTGGCAATCACAATGATAGGTTGGGAGATCTCATTCGCAGAGTGAGAATAAGAAAATAGTGGGAAGGGGAGAAAAGAAAAAAGAAATCTAGAGGAAATGCAAGGGGAAGGAAGGGGAGGGCTAAAATGTGTACCAACTGATTATGTCTGAAAGTTGCCTTTTTGATGCGCATCAGGAGAGTGGGTTTTATAAAAAATAATGTAAGAAAAAGATAAGATGATTTTTTTCCACTTTTTCAAGAATGAGTTCTTCGAATATAACCGGCCATCCACTTTCTCGTTAGGTCGCTGCCGAATTGGATCGCTCGGAAACAGCGAAATGTTTGGTAGAGCGCTCAGCGGAGGCTAATGTGGCTGATGACAGCGGCATGACAGCACTTGTCATGATGATCAGCAAGATGCCCAGTGTGGTAGGTGGTAACTGAACAAGACTGAACCAACTTTATCACTATGTATGATCAGAAAAAAAAAGAGAGAATGGTACGTGGACCCATGTGATCTCAAAGTGAATATATGTAAGCTGCCACAAGAGCGGGAAAAATGCAAATGACCAAGCCACAATTGATTTTAGATTTCGCATCTGGTTGGTTGAGAGGGTGTCGCAACTTTTCTGTACCGGGCATAGAGGATAGTGGAGCAGAAGGAATAAAATATCGTAGTACTTTCGACACTCCATTAAAAATTGCATTTCCATGTAACTCGAGCGTGTTACCGTGAAGAGAGGGTAATACGATTCGACACAGTGTGTGTGTGTTTGTGTGTGTGTGCGAGAGAGAGGTGTCGGAGATAATGGTTTTATCCTTTCGGCCAAGGGCAACTCACTGAGACAATGATTGTTTTCTGTTGAATATTTTGACCCTAATTAATTTGTTTGTGTATTTCTCGCGCAGGCTAAAGAAGCACTAAATCAGTTTTACTCCACCGATCGAGCAAATAGAAAACAATATTTCTATTTAAACTACCTTGAGCCCCCAGTACCGACTTGCATGAGTAGCGGATGTGCCAGGACAGCACTTGAAGTCATTGTGCAACTCAAGCAGTTTGATTTGATTATGCATCCAGTGATACAGAGGCTTATCAAGGTGAAGTGGAATTATTTTGGAAAGCGAGGAGCCTGGATCCAAGTCGTAGTAAACCTGTTTTTCGTGTTAGTCTGGACTGTGCTTGGCATCACCACACCAAGTAGGGCTGGTGAACTTTATGAACCAATCAAGGAGAAGTGGTGGAGGATTACGCTGAGTATCATAGGGGTACTGATGACCTTGAATTTCATCAGACAAGAAGTCATGGAATATTTCTCATCGAAAAGAGAACATAGACTTTGGGTGAAGTGGCGGGAAGATAAGTTGAGAGGAGATTTGGAGTTCTGTCATCCGAGATGGCCTGGTGAAAGGTTATATTTGATGCAAGAAATTGACTCGTTGCATCATCAGGAACCAGCTTATTTCAAAGATGCCTGGAATTTTGTCGACTGGCTGGCATACTTCATGATCCTTGCCTCCATAGCGACGAATCTAATCGCTTATCTCTATGACAACACATGGGCTCTGATAGTGCACGTGAACATTTCATCTGCAACTCTTGTGATTTTGTGGATTCGTCTCATGAAGTATGCGCGTGCGTTCACTTCGTTGGGACCCTTTGTTGTCATGCTCGGTCACGTGATCAATGACATACTCAAATTTGGATTTCTATTCTTCACGTTTTACATACCATACGCTGCCTCGTTTTGGATGGTTTTCAGTGGACATCAAGTTGAGGGTTATTCCGACATTACCGATCTTCTCTACAGCATGTTCAGGATGACTGTTGTGGACGAGTACAATTACGATGGACTCGAGCAAGTAAAGCCTATTATGGCTAAAGTTCTTTGTGGTACATACATTGCAATCTCAGGAGTGATTTGTCTGAATCTTTTTATCGCTTTGATGTCTGACACTTTTCAAAGAGTGTATGACAATGTCAAGGCAAACGCTGTTATGCAGCAAGCCACTACTATTCTGACTTTGGAGAAAAGCCTTTCTGCTTCAAAGCGGCGCGCTTTCACGAACTTCATCTACACGAGATGCAACCCTGAGGAGCTTTACTATGACGACGACTTGTCTGAGGGGGAAGAAAAAGATCTACAAAGAATGACGCACCAAATAAAGGAGCAGGTCGATCATATCTACGCGCATATAGCTGAACAAGACAGTGATAGAAAAAAGAAAGGAACCGCATCCACGAACGATGTACATAAGTTGCGCGAAGATTTAAAAAAACTAGAGCAACAGCACAGAGCCCTGACAGCGCAGTTTCACAATCAGATCGGTGAAGTCAAAGATATGTTGGGTGACATTATCCATACTCTAGGCAAACGAAAGAAAAAGAAACACTGAACAACCTTGTTACCAAGTGGTGATGAGAATGTCACGTAATTTCTCTTAATAGTTTTCATGACATTGTTGAGACCACAGTAGGGAGAATATAGACGTTGACTCTTCTAGAAGGAATGAGGGTTAACGTTAATTATAACCTTCTAAACAATTGTATGCGCCTTTTATAGTTTAGTAAAGCTGTTATGAGACCGTACTTGACAGCCAGTTTATTGCTGGTTAAACAATTAACTTGAAGTACACCTTTTTAAATATCTTTAACTTTGTACGCACTGCAGATTATTGTGCAGCCAATCATTTTACCGTAAGATACGTATCCGAGTAAATAGTCCACGGAAACTAATCAGTTACCAATTTCAGGGATGCGAATAAACGCAAGTTTGTTACCCTTCGTAAGGAAGAGATATGTGTCTTATAGGAGAAGGTATAAGCAAGAGCCGCAATAATAAATCGGGTATACTTAAGCAATTGTTGAACCTGGTTTGATAAATAATTGGAAATAAGTCCGTGAAAGGCAAGCCGCGTGTTACATATGAACCTATGGCAAATGCCCTAGCTCACAGTAGAGTATTGGGATTTTCTTCGTCTCACGCTCGTGACACGACGAAAATAAATCTTCCTTGATTCCTTTAAATTCGAGTCCATTCAGTTGTCGATACGGAGAACGAGGCAACCGTGCATTGCGAACCGAACACAGCTTCGCCTGTTTCCAACGTTGACTTACTAAACAGGGCGCAATAGAAGCGCAAAGCTAATAGGGAGGAGGTTTGTTTCTTGTAGAGTACAGAAATCCTCCGCCTAGTTTCTCTCTGTTTTGCCATTGCATCTCAGGGAGCGTTTTCAAGAGGTTCCTGCGTTGCAGCCTGTTTCCTTACTGGATGCCTGAACGCTGTCTGCATCAAAAACGTGCGCTTAGAAGTCGGATTTGCAAAGTTTGTCTCTAAAATAACAAAAATGTGTACGAACAAAGGTAAAATCCTTTCAAGTTTGCGCAAACATCATTTCACTAATAACTCAGGAATACATACAAGAAATGATCGGATTTACCGGGCCCATATGCGAGCTATTGAATCGTGTTTCAAGAAATGTCGTGCTGGGTGCGCGGTAAATATCTCAATGTATTACTTTTTCAAATTTTATTAGTGCGTTTTAGTTAAGGAGTCTTTCCCAAATTTACGCTTAATAAGGAAGTCTACGTTTATGCCAGAAACACCGGAATTGAAAGAAAAATCTGATTATTTTTAATGTACGAGTCAATTTGTATTAAGAATTCCTAACAGCGATCTTTAGCCCCAGCCTTCGTATCTGCTCAAAGGCTCTGTCACTATGATCATTTCATTTACTGGCTTTATTGCCTCTTTCAAAACATCGAACCGATTAAATAAGTTAATTTTCCATTTCTATTTACACTGGCGTATGGACTACGAAAAAGTACAAGGTGGGACGACAAAGTCATCTTTTTAAAATGTCTTTACTTTGGGCTACTTAATCGAGTTTCAACTAATGAAAGCTCAGTCAGTTTTGTCTGATGCTTTGTCTGCCTCGCTCTCTTCTTCACACGGAGGTAAATTTGGGGGTGAAATCGGTGCCAATATCCCTCTTAGTCGAGCCACATACTCGTCTCTCGCGGCTTGACCTGACATATTGATTGATCTTTTTCTCTGCTTCTCAGCCATTGCATTTCCAGTAGCACTTTCTAAGTCAGTTTTGTTTGCCTCACTATCCTCTGTAGGCGGGGCTAAATCTGGGGATGGAATAGGTGCCAATGGTTCCTTGAGTCGAGCCACATACTCGTCCCTTGCGGCTTGACCTGACATAATGACTGATTTTTTTTTCTGCTTCTCAGCTATCGCGTTTCCATTAGCACTTTCCAAGTCAGTTTTTTCCAATCCTTTGTTTGCCTCACCATCCTCTGTACGCGGAGTCAAATCTGAGGGTGGAATCGGTGCCAATGCTCCCTTTAGTCGAGCCACGTACTCGTCTCTCGCGGCTTGACCCGACATAACGACTGATTTTTTTTTCTGCTTCTCAGCTATGGTATCTCCATTAGCACTAACCAGGTCAGAGACAGTTTCCACATCGAGTGCGCTTTTCCCTGGAGACGTTCCTGCCACTTTGACCACTTCTCTGTCGCCATCAATCATTTGGAATGGTTTTGGGGTGGTCGCTCTGGATTTAGGTCTTGCACTGGTTTTTCTTCCTTTGGGTTTCTCCTTGATTTTGTCGTCCTCCATACTTACAACAAACGCCTCCAGGTGTTCTACTCTAGCCATGAGATTCTCTTCATACTGCTTGATATGTGATTCGTGTTCATCGCACTTGGAGTTAATTGCCATGAGTTCTGTCTGTAGCTGGTCAAATCTTGCGCCTAAGTTGCCCTCTAGCACACTGTTTCTCAGGTTGGCCTCAGCTTCCACAGTTTCGAATCCAGAGTCGATGCCTCTGGAAAGACTCTCAACCTTGTACTCCATGTTAGTGTTCACGTTGGTAACTTCGGTGTTAACATCACTAATCGCCGAGATCTGTTTTTTCCCGTGTTGCATCAATTTAGCAATTTCTTCATAGATTAGGGCATTGAGGCTTCCAAGCTCATCCAAACGAAGATGAAGGTGATCAACAGATTTCTGCATTTCACTCTGAGAGCGTTTCAAGGAGTCGACATCTTCCAGCACTATGTCAAACTCGCTCTTTCGTACTTTTCCAAACTTCTTCCCTCCCAGACGATCGCTAACAATGGTATGAACTAAGGCGATTTTCTCTACTTGTTTCCTGTTTTGTTCTTCTTCGTCGGATATGATTACCAAGAAGTCGTTCCCCTCTGGGCTGCATCTGTTACGGATATGATCCCTGTATCGCTCCACTCTACGTTCGGAGGCAGACGATTCAATATCTTGCAGAAGGCGCGCGCGCTGCATTGCAGCCGTCGCGCGTGCGTTGTCATAAACACGTTGAAACGTGTTCGACAGTAACGCAATGTACAAGTTCATTAATACGATGGCAGCGAGAATGAGGAAAGAACCACAGAGTATGCGCGACATGACCGGGTACTCTTTTTCCAGGTCGTCGAAGTTGTAGTTATCCACAAGTGGGAAGCGGATGATAGTGAAGGCTAAGTGTCCCACGTTGTCGTATCCTTTCACAGGCTCACGCATGGATCCCGGGCCAAACAACATCCAAAAAGCTGCTGCGTAAGGGATGTAAAACAGGGCTATGACAAAGCCCCATCTGATTGTGTCCACTAGGATGTTGTCCAGGATGACTACAAAAGGTCCCTGACTTGGGAAGGGTCTAGCAAACTTCAGCAGGCGGACCCAAATGATGATAATCGTGCAGGCATGTATCCGGGTGAAATATCCATTATACTGATTGTTTTCGACGACGACATTGATGATGTGAAGTATGATCACAATGATCAGCATTAGATACGCCACCCAATCCAAATAATTCCACTTGTCTTGGAAGTACGTCTTCTTTCGGTGTTTGATCTGTTTCACATGTTGTTTGATAAAGTTTTTTTCTTGCGTCCATCGAGGATGACAATATTGCAAATCGCGTTTAACTTCTTTCTTCCTCCAGCTTACGAACTTTGTATTTTCTCGTTTAGACTGGTAAAACTCTTTTATCTCTTTTCTGATTTCGTTGAACGTTAAAAGCACGACGGCAGCCTCTAGGGGAATCTTCCATGCATTTTTGCTGAGTGGGTAATAATAATCAGCCACGTCGGTAGGATGCGTCACTCCGAGTACAGTGTAGGCCACAGCAAGCAGGACGTTCAGAAAGATCCCCAGCCAAGCCCCAAGACCAAAGAATCCCCATTTGACTTCAATTAGTCTTTGGAAAATCGGATGCATGATAAGCTCGAAGCAGTTTACTTCCACGACTGCTTGCAAGGGTGAGAGGTTGACTGGTTGACGTTTGGTATCTGGGTCGCATTGTTCCAAGAAGTTGAGATAATATCGTTGCTTGCGATGAGATCTGTCTGTGACGTGGAACTGATCCAAGGCTCGAAGCGCCTGATATTAGGAAGAAAAAAAAAGTTTAAGAATAACGAAGTATACTGCCTGCGTGATAAGTATTTGTTCCACGCACTGAACGCCAGCAAGGTCAAGCTGTGTCAAGTGGTTCCAATTCACCGTCGTTGAGTTTTCTGACGTCTTCCACGGTAAGTAACTGAAATATTTCTTCTCTAAGCAACGGGGATACATTTTGTTGGTGGCTTTTCACTTCTTTACTCATGCAATAGCCTTATATTATTTAATACTTGTACGGGGAATGTATCACCTCTGAGAGTGCGCTTAAGTGTTGAAATGAAATGGTGCCTGAATTAAAAGAAAAGAAAGGGTTTAGGAGTAAACAGATTAAATTAATTAAGCCATAGCGAGCTGCGTTTCATTAGCACTCAATGCATGGTCACAGTTGAAGCCCGCGAAAGCATCCGCCCTCCATTTACGCAAACAAAACATTCTTACAATAGACGCGTGAATTAGTGCATTAATTCTTCAAGTACTTTTACTCTCGTTTCCAATTGTGAAAGGAGAAGGCTAAAGTTACACAAACTGCTCGAGAACGAACTTCTCGCACATTCCCCGGGTCTTGCCAAATTGTGAGTCTACGTCGGTTAAGAAGCAGTGATGTATCGAATGATTTTCAACGAGGATCATTTTGACAGCAAAGAACATTTACCACCCACCACACTCGGCATTTTCGTGATCATCAGTGTGAGTGCTGTCATTCCACTGTCGTCTCTTGTTCCAGCTGTTGCACCTGCTTCCAATAAAATTTTAGCGCATTCAGCGCTGTTGCTTTCAGCTGCAAGCTGTAAAGAAAACACAGAAGCTGTTGCATGTATAAAATGACATATCTTTGCCGATATTGTCTTTTTGAAACATTTCTTTTCCGATTCGTTTTTTTCTTTCATATGCTCCTATTTTCTCGTTGCCAAAACTGACTGAATTAAATAAAGGCTTTGAAAAAATTGAACTGAAGAATGCTATTATCAAGAATTTGGAGTTTAGCATCCTTTTCATTCCTGACTAATAATTGTATAAGATTTCATGGTTAGTGACTTGCGTATATAATGACACCCTAAACTCAACTTGAAGCGATCTAGCTACGCAAACTCCACTGTTATCTTTACAATTATATCTTAATGACAAACCTATTCATGGAAGAATTAACTCTCCGTCTGAGAATAAAGCATTAAAGAAAACTTGAGCAGAAAGTTCAATTTTGCTAAGTTTGTTATGGGGTTTTTTTGTGTTGTTGCGTAATACCGTCATGCAACTATTTACGTAATTTATCTTAATTTGAAATGATATCTGTGGTTCTTGTCCACCTTTTTCTCGGCCTATAACTTCATGGAGTTGTTGGTTTTCTTTCTCCGGTTTGGTATTATTTCGATTTCGTCTGCTTTTTGCCACCGAAATTAAATAAATGGATTTGAAATTTGCCACTGTTATAATTTGGCAATAGTTATATTTGAAGTGAAATTTTGTACATGGCAATTTTGTAGCGATATCATTTCTCAGTCGCAACATGTGTATATTATGACCTATAACAATTCTATCGACTCGGAACTAAAGCTTTTAAACATTTTAGTTGCGGTGTTTGTTCATCAGGACGAAGACCCAGAGAATTTGAATCAGGACAGCGGGGGTGAAATCATTGAGCTTAAGTGTACCCCGTTCCTTGACCAAAAGACATAAAAAAAAACCCCTCAACACTTCTAAGTTTCCAGTGGCTAGGAGGAAAATGTACAACAACAACTAAAAATTGCAGAAATGGCCGGGGAATGGCTTTGTTGCCACCCTCTGTATCTAAATATGTTTAATACCCATCCGTAAGCTGGCTTTAAAGGACAAAGCATATCGCAATCATATCTTTTTTTCAACCTCTCATGGAGGTTAATGAGTCCGTCTGGTGATCAATAAATAAAGACGAACTGAACTTAAGACGAACTCAAATCTCAGACAAACAATCGAACTGAAAACGAAGGAGAAAAGAAAAGAAAGAAAAACTAAAATAAAAAAAACAAAGCGAAACAAAAGAGAAAATGATAAAACAGCAAAACTGCATAAAGTAAGAATGACCCTACCTGCAATGGGGTGCGTTGTTTGTAGTCTCTAACCTCCAACTCCGCACCGTAAGCCAAAAGAATTTTAACACTTTGTGGTGCTTCATTTTTGGCCGCAAAATGAAGAGGAGTTTGTTTCTCTCCATTGGTTGTCAAGTCAATATCTGCACCATTTTCGATAAGAAATCTGACCATCTCGGAATAATCAGCCGAAGCTGCCACATGTAAAGGAGTCCGTCCAAAATCATCGGCACTGTTGACGTCTGCGCCTGAAAAACAAATGCCATTAGAACAATTAATTTTTTGTTCCCGTAAAAAATGAAAAGATAATTTAATCACATTTGTATAGAAGTGACTAAGGAGCGAAAAAGACTAAAAGAAGGCAACCATCTGACGAGTTCTAAAAAGGAAACTAGATTTTCAAAACTAGATGAATAGATGGAGTAGAAGGTATACCTTATCAAGATAAAGATACTGGTAATTATGAGATAAGCATCTTAAGATCGCTTTTACAGTCGAATCTTTTGTAAGAGAACAACCAAATAGCTTTTGATACCCTGCGGGAGCTGGTAAGTTATTAGGATATGTTCTACGCTGAAAAAGTTTCAACTACAATTTAAAACTAATGAGGGTTCTCACATTCCGGTCGTATGGGGTAAATGAGTTAATCAGAGGTTTTACGGCATTTGAATACCGAAGTTCATGGTATGGTTTAAGGACATCAGCAAGGTTATGTCCACATAAAACACAGAGGTGTAAAAAATATTTATGTACAATGAAATCATCAAATACTGCCAAGTATAATTACAGGAATCGAGTGGAGAATATTAATTGATAATAGTTCTTTTTTCCTTTTTTTTCTTTTTTTCCCCTGCCTATCTATTCTTGATACAATTCTTTTCAAATTAGTTTCAATCATTTGGTTTTATTGTAGGTGTGACATACCTTTATCGATGAAAAACTGCGCTACATCTGTGCCCCAGTTCCTGGACACTTCATGGAGTAACGTTTGACTAAAGCGATCACAAGTATTGACACAGGCTCCTTCAAGTAACAGCGATTGAATGTGTCCTAAATCCAGCGAATCATCGCAATCGCTCGAGCTTGATAGCGTGACGAAATATTTCAGTAGAGCTTGATTCGGCTCTTCTGCTTTAGATAAACATGGTTCATTTTTTGTCCTTCCAATGCTTTCCTCTCCACTCTCGCTCGGTTCTTGTCCCTTGCCGTCCTCTTCGTTCTGTTCTGCAGTCCCATCGACCGCAAATTCCAAAATGGGCTCATAGGCAGGGACACTCTCCTTTCTACTTCTTGAAGACGAATCAACGCCTGCAGATGCGTTTATCTCTTTCAGCATTTTCTCAACATAAACATAATCACTATTCCTTCTCTTCGTGTAGGAACTCGGTGATGAAGGAGGACGAGCAGGGAGATCACTTTGCACTGTTAAAGCGCTTTTACTCACCGAAGAATTAAGTCTTACAATTTGACCACGAAACTCTACGGCTGAGACTTGAGAAGTAAAGCCATTCGCCGAACTATTCGAAACATGATGGGCAGCTTCTTGCGAGCTATTTTGCTCATTTTCCCGTTTTGCTTCGTCTTCCATTGGAGAAACTCTGGAGGGAGGTCGAGACTGAGTTTCACATGTACTTGCCTCCGCTAAAGCATTTTGGTCGTGACTCAGGGATGAATCGAGTCTTGCAATTTGACCACAAAACTCCACGGCAGAGAAGTGTGAAGCAAAACTGTTTGCCAAACCATTTGAAACAGGAAATGTTTCTTGCAGGCTACCTTCTTCATTTTCAGTTTTCTCATCGTTTTGTATTGGACAAACTCTATTACGACTCCCCATATTTTCAAAATCACGTTTTCTTTGTGGGAACTTGGAGCTATCTTCATGTGCTTGTCGCCAAAAACATCATAAACATAGCGTGATACTCCCACCTAAGAGAAAGAGTGAAATAGCCATGGAGCGGAACATTCATAATTTTATTTTATGGCTAGTCCTTGACAATTAACGTGTTCTGTATCTAAACAAAGCGACAATGACGAAGGCAAACAAAGACATCGTGGTTAACTTCTATAGATTCGCTGTCTAAACTGACCACAATGCTTTGTTTAGGCTGCAATAAAATTGGAGCTCAATATCGCAAAGAGTGACGTCAGTAAAGGCTGAGAATTCACGCGATAATATTTACTTCTGGTGAATACCGAAACTGTTGATATATTTGACTATCCATGATAGCTGGTTATTATAAACAGTGAACTTCGCTTTGAGCTCCTAAAGCAAAAATAATCTGAAATATTACAACTTAACGCTGATTTAGTGTCATTCAGAAATGTTTGCGTCAAACAAATTACTAGCGAATGATATTGAACCGAAGTTAGAACTCTCTAGGTTGTTTTTTTTTATAGTCTAGTAAAGGTTAACAAGAGATTGGTGCCAGATATTTTAAACAATTTGACACTACCTATAATTGTGCAAATGAAGGAGACAAAAATTGCCAGCCAAACTGTATCACGAGTGCCACTGATTGTCATTCTCAACTGACTAATCCAACAAAACCACTGGTGAAGGGAATAAATGAAAGAAACAACGTCACTGTTGTAGACCATTTGTTGTTGTTTTATCAATACACTGCTTCCAGGAAAATATGAGTTAGTTACTAGCTAGGAAACTAAAGAACTTTGTGGACACCGAATGATCTATTACTAATTTCAAAACAATAAATATTAAACCATGAATTTAAATATAAAGTGAAACTATATAATTTTTTACATTAATCCGGCAATTAATTATTAATATTTCCTTGGCAATCATTAGAGCATCAATACAGTTTTCAGGCCGGAGCCACAACAGTTGGCGATCTTTGAACAACATGACAACACTGAATAGTCATATTTAACATATGAATTGAATTATAACGAATTTCGTCCGCAAAACGAATTTCATTCTGTCAGCTTATATATCATTCAAGAGATTGTGACGCAGTAGAAACCGATATCAAAATAAACTGCGAAAAACTTCCAAAATCGCACCGTCATGGTGGTGCCACTTGGTCAATTTTACTCAGCCTTTAGATAATAACTGATCTCAGTAGTATTGATACTTTACTGGTTATTAGAGCAACTCTATTTGATTGTTTGGCTTCTTTCCCTTCGCCTCCAAAGGCTAAAAGAATAAAATAATAAAAAAAATTATATAAAGAAGTCACATCATCATAAAACAATCAGTGCGTGCTAATCTTTTATCAACCAATAATGAGTAATCGAACTAAACTTAGGCAAATTAATCACTTTTTCCGCTTTGTATTGTTCACTTACTACGCGTTTCTACCCTTTCTTCTTCGTGACTTGTAATGTAAAGTGGACCCCTGTGTCTTAACGTTCCTTTGTTATGTCTGCTTCCTGGGGATCGATCTTTCTCGAATAACTAAAGGCGACGTATCCGACTGATAATATCTCAAAAAGTTGCCAATTTTTTACGTCTGATGATCTTAAAACGCGAGAAAAATCACTCCCTTGCACAGATATTAGCAAGAAGAGACAGTATTTTCTCAAGCTGTGTTCAAATCTTTTCCTGAATGCCTTCTATAGTTATTCAGCGAGTTTAGTTAGATATACAATAGGTGATTTCATTTCACTGAGAGGACAAAAAACATGAATGTCCTAAAGAAGTTGTCTGGGCAATAATTCAGTGTAATCTTCCTTTGCATGCTTTTTAGTCTAGTAAACTAAATCATGTTTTGGAAAAAAATATTATTGTCATGAAATTATTCCATGTCCTGGTGATTTTCAGCCCCGGAAGAATGGACTAATCTTATCTCACCTTCCCTTAACATAACCCAAGCAAAGAATGGAGTTTATCAACATTCATACCAATTTCCATGACCTCTTTTTGAGTTTTGATTGATGTAAGAAAAAGTTATTCATTCTAAACTGTGAAATTTGTTTTAATACAGCTGCTTACAATGGTGGTGGTCCTTTAAAATAAGTAAATACAGTTGCTTTCAATTGAAATTCTGTTTTATTTGCCTCAAAATGTCATTGGTTAAAACCTTACTTTTATACAAAAAAGCTAAAACGAACAAAATGACAGCTGAGGTCATTTAAACACAACATAATATTACCTTAGAAATTCTTCACCTACCTATACATGTAAACAATCAAAATACCATGCAATTTTTCACTCTTTAAGTATATTTGTAAACCCTTCTTTAAATTCAGTTGGTGAATTTATTTCTTTACCTTTCAGTAGTATGCAAGAAGTGAAGTTCAAGACACATAATACAAGCTGCATTTTTGCTGTTACTATTCATAGGGTGGGTTGTCCATATAACCATTATTATATTTTCTTTTAGTTTGTTTATATATATATTTTAAAATATATTTTCCAGTTATCATTTCCTCAGGTAAGTGCCTTACATGGGTCTGAGTGTCCTGTCCATGACTTTCCCTTTCGGGCTCCAGTTGCTACTAGTAGTTATTCTCACTTGTTTTAATTAAAAGAAAAAGAAAACTTCTCATACAAAAAACACAACATTTTACTGGCATCAATCAAAAGGCCTTGTTGTTCAGAGATCATTGTGATTCATCTGCATGTTTCTGCTTTTAGCAAAACATTGTTTACCACTATTAACAACACAAAGATAAAAATAATTACTGTAAGCCTTGCTTAGAGATCATAAGGAACTAAAGAGCATTATACTCACAAGAGAAGAGCTTTAACATTGCAGAACTGATGTGGCTTGGTAGGAAACAGTATGTACGGTCAGACACCTATTATTGCAATCTATTTATTTAAAATATTTGAGAAGTATAATTCCAAACAAAGTGTAATATACTGCACCAGTTACTGACTGGTTTTTTCACAAGCATATATTCTCAGCATTGTGCACACTGCCATCAATTCACACAAACTAGTACAAAAGTACTGGGTTACAAAAGTTTCTGTACATTTTCTTTAGAGAGGTTTTTCAATATTTATATTGAACAGAGCTATACAAACTGATTGTCAATAAACTGAAAGCTCCTTAATTTAAATACAAAATAGGCACTGCTAAATGAGGTTTCTAGGGTAGGTATGCTATATAAGAACATCTTTTGCTGAGGTTGAAAGTCCTTAGCTTAATAGCTTGTGAGAGCATGTTTGCAATGACTTGAAACTGCATTTGGAAGTTTCACTAACCTAAATCTCTCAAAATAAAATCTTCCCCATGGGGGTAGTAAGGAGACCTCCCTATAGATGCTTTTAAGAGGTAGGTGCCACCCCTGGAGGGGAAATCACAGGACACTATTCATGCTGTTCTCTTCTTCTTTAATAACTCAAAAAGAAAAAGAGGTACACATATCCAAAAAGAAGAGCCAAATAAAGCATTAGTAGGTTATTCACAACCAGAAAATGAGCTTCTCATAATAATTGCGCAAAAAATAGTTTACCATTAAGACTGATGCTATCTTTAGAATAGAATGGGGTTATTGAAAAATCTCTCCTTCAATATCTGCATTTAAGGTAATGTTGGCTCCCACACATAACTGGTAAAATGTGACTTGAAGGCTGTTTATTTTGGCTCTTCATGCCACACTTGCCATCGATCCTCAACTATTGTACATTATGATCCAAATTGACTCTGTTCTTATTTTTCAATCTCAAATTCAAACCATCAATGTCGAGCACAGAGGGCAGAGCCGTAGTTGTGACTTTAAACACGCTTGAAAACACGTCTGGTGTAATAAATGGCCACATCTCAACACCTGGCAAGGAACAGGAGAGGTGTGTAGGCCCTCCATGCAAATCGGACAGTCCGCTCTCGAGCTCTGCTCGATGCAGACGTGAGATCTCTTTATACTGTTTGGATAGCACATGTCACACCTTAAACAGTGGAAAAAGTTTTCTTTGCCCCCGACGCGACAAACTCCACAAAGATCGCAGTGAAACTGGCCCTTATCCCGGTCGTCATAGAGACGGCAAGTTTCACAAAAGTAAAATCCGAACTTGATTCCACATTCTGTACAATGTGAGACCACAGCTTGCAGTTTATCACACTGATTGCACTTGATCTGTTGAATACTCTTCCTCTCTAGTTCATGGGTTTTCTCAGCATTGTCATGACAAAAGCGGCAGGGGTAAATCTTTCCACAACACGGTGCCAGGAAAGAACATTTCCTTACATAATGCTCGCAACACGCCATCTTGTTTATTTTTAAATGTATCCAGATCACCTCGTCCATCTACACAGGGAGGATTCTCATTTTCTCTGGGGCTGGGTACAAGCTGTCAGGCAAGCCGAGCTCCTTTTCGCAAACTTTCGCCGTTTTTGTACGCGCCTAATTCTGCACTATACTTCTACATCTCAGCTTGTAAGTTTCACACAATTTCATTAACATCGGCCAAAGTCTGTCTGCGAAATTCACGCAGGTTTCGCTGCACGCAAACTGGTCATAATCTTCGTGATATCCATTTCATATCACACTGAAACTGGCTATTCTTCCTGCTTTTAACGTTCTGTAATTAAGACACTACATATAACGTCTAAGCCAATTTGCCACTGATGGCGTGGTGGAGGCGAGTTTGCTATGGTGGCAAGTTTACCGGATACCCTTGACACGTCAAAATTCGCTACGGCGGTCTATCTACCTTTATTGTTGACTATCAAATAAGTACAACAACGCAGTACAACAGTTTCTTGCCAAAAGAAAAAATCTGCACGGGAGCCTGCTTAGAGGGTAGAAGTAAAGGACAAAGGAGTCCTCTTCAGTAAAATAAGCTATATCGACAACCGCACACGGCGTCACGGTAAATGCTGTATTAGTCGAGTGAAATATACATACAGCGTCTGAAAAACAGAGTATACCCTAAGGTGTTGGAAAAAGACATTGATGGATTAATCAACTTCGAAAACCCACTTTACGAATTCTCTATGCCATTTCGCCGAACTGATCGAAGACTTAAAATAAACCGCAACGAACTAACCCTAGACTCTTTTAAAGAGTCTTTCGTTACAGTGCCAGTGAGGTTAAACAGAGCACCGTTGCATCAACGTGTAAGAAATCTCGACCTCCAGGCTTTAAACCTCTAGCCTTCAAATTTTCCCTGTCACATCCAAACGCTGCTGTTCCAAAAAATCCTACGAGAGGGTTGGTAGGAAATGTATCGTTAAATGCCAACGACTGGGCATTTTCATATCCATACGTCATGATACCCCTTGAAAAGCACGAAAACATCAAACTAAAACTGTCTTCTTTCGGTACACTGGAGCTGTCAAGTCTGTGAATTGAATCATAGAGATTATCCGTAGATTCCATTTTTGTGCCTCCTGTTATGATTACTGATGACGATTGTAAATTTCCAGCTAAGACAAGGCCAATAATCTCTCGAGTCGTGACTTCTGTGTTGTAGAATAAATAACTGTCACTGTAGCCCCCGACAATAACCACCTAAAACGTCATGTAACAACACATTTGTAAGACACAAGAAGAAGAGTAGAACCAGTTTTATCTAAGCCTATTACTGGACCTAATCTTTATCGCGTTCTCGATTTGGGAACCACTTTTTGATGCACTCTTGGGTCATGTGATCATACAACATATTGCATTCAATTTCCATGCTTCTTGCTGTGCAAGGAAAGTTATTTCCAATGAAAGGTGGGCAATGAAGAGTTCTTTTGAATTAAAAAGCCCAGAGTAATATTATTTTAAGGTGACACAGTAACACAGAAACACTGAACAACCTGCTTGTGTGTGCATGATGTATGAAAAGAAAGCTGGAAAGGCTTTAGGAGGGTACGTAAGGTCGGAGATTGTCCCGAGGCGCAATTACAATTCAGAAAAGTTGGACATTTCTCTATGTTATCAACCTAGCATTCAGGCGCAGATTTCCATATTAAGCTCCAAAGAAAAAAATTTTTGCACCAATTAATGCCTGTAGTTTGTCGAAGTGGTGGGGGGAGGTAGGAGAGGAAGATCAGATGTAGGAGGAGTGTTGAAGGGTTACGGATGAAGATTAGAAGAAGACAATTACAAATGATAACTACAGTTAAAATGAAATTTTGATAGTGTATCTTACGTCATCGCCATACTTCGACCTTAATGCCATGGTCAAACGCGTAAGTTTACCCAGAGACAAAGGATGAGCTAACACTATCACCAACTGAACCGGCAGGTTCATATCAGGAAGAAATGATTTGACACCACTTATTCTCTTATACTTGTTGCGAAGAGGAATATGGAAGTCCCGGATCTCAAGGCCATCACAGCGAGGAAACATCAAAAGAGACAAGCCAGCTGTATTCTCTATTTCTCGCGGCTGACCTCGTCGCCTTTCATCTGATCCGATCACCCCAAGACCAGTACAGCCAATCAACGGACAGTTCACTGGGAGACAGCTTCGCACTGATTGCAAAAAGTTATTGATAAAAGACGCACTGGATGACGGAAGCTGTCCTGAAAAGAGAATCAAAGCTCTTGGTTCGACTTGCTGTTGCCTTATAAAGTCCAGTGCTTCCTTGGAAAATTCTGAGAAGCTTGAGCCAACTGGAGATAAATAGACGGCACATTTTCTTCTTGATCTTCGAATCCTCTCCACTGTTTCACACCAGAGATGACAGACCTGTGCAGCGACTGAAACGCACCTTCCCGGGAGGAAACGAAGAACAATTTCCACTACTTCTGCTATTTCCAGAGGGTTATCTATTGCCGCCATCTTGTATTTTGGATGGCCTGGTTACTGAGACTGAGCAAGGCTTGGTTACAGAGGATAAGATTGATGTCATTTGTCCTCAAGTTTTCGAAGATGCACGTGAATTTTCTCCATCCATTTTTTAAGCCCATAGCTGACTGTGATGTAGTTAGCTCCGATGGATACACTGTCCAAAACCTCGTAAGCCCAGATTTAAGAGAGAATTCCCGAGGATTTTTGGCTGCTCATTTTATCAAGCCTCCAACTCTGTTACTCTTTCAACTTCCATTTCCAGTTCACGTAGAATCAATGATCATCAAACCTAAAGTTGGATCTCAAATTTCATCTGGTATAGCTGTTTTGGTGGCGGGAATCGCCGCAAAAAACGATCCTCACGTGAATGGTGACATAACCAACCATAAATCAACAGTGTCTTCTAAAATGCAAAGAATTAACAATGGCCTCCCTTTGATCTCATACAAAAGAAAAAATTGTCAGAAAAGTACAGCCGAAACTTGCCAGAAACAATCACCCAAAGAAGTTGTCACCCATCACCACAGTTATGAATTGAATATTACCCCTACATCTGTGAAAGGTGAGCATTCGCAGTTTTTTACACAAGTTGCTTGGCTTACTGACAGTGAAGGTAGAACATTTCATATGGAAAACAAATTGTTTCAAGAAAGGTTTCCTGTTCAAGGGATACACTCAGTAGGAAGATCAGATATTCAGCAAGGAGAATTTCAGCGATTATCCTTCCTTAGAAAGGTTACTCATGTAGCATTGAAGATTGCACGATTAAGTGGCTCAAGTGTACCAGCTATTGGCAAAGTTGAAATCTGGGGACAACCATCTGCTTGTTGCCAGCCAGGAGTTTTAGAATATGCCTTACAAGTCCAGGAAAAAATTCAAGCAGGCATACATAGTAAGGCTGCTACCACAGCGGATGAACACATAATGAAGCCAGATTCTAAACATTGTAGATCAATGATTGCTACAAATTGTAATAGTAACCCCATTCCAGATGACTTTATTGACCCGATTACATGTGAAATCATGACAGTGCCTTTGTTACTCCCATCTGGTCACAATATAGACTCAGTTACACTTGAAAAGCACATTATGGCAGAGAGAACCTGGGGACGATTACCATCTGACCCATTTACTGGAAAATTATTCTCAGAATTTTCCAAGCCACTACCAAATAGTCTACTTAAAGTAAGGATTGACAAGTTCCTTCTGTCATCAGGACTAAATAATTCTGTTCATGGGAGAACAGTTGGAAGTGAGACTGTGTCACTTCGAGAAAATAATCAAACTAAAAGTAAATTACTGAAAGCAAATAAGGGACCTTCAGAAGACAGTCATGCAAAAGCCCCTTCTGGTAGCAGTGAAGTCAGAGGTTCTCATCTTGAATTACCTTTATTTGGTGCAAGATATCAGCAAAGGGTTCCAAATAACTGCGAGCACAAGTCAGAACAAAAAGGTACTTCCTTCATGAACCTCTTCAAAATTGATTTACTGCGTCATTTGGTTTTTTCTTTCTCTAAATTTTGTTTGATGTTGGCTTGAGAGATTTGTGTCTTATAAAATACATTAAAAAATTTATTCATTCTCATTGGCAAAAAGGAATGCAATTTGAAGGTAGCACAATGTAGAAGAAAGCTAATACAGGGCAAAAGGTGGTAAAAACTGTTTAGCTGGGCTTTGAATTTTTTCGCTGCTAAAAAAGTTATAAAAAAGGGAGAAAATATTTGTTTAAATTGAATATGGTTTTGATTAAATGCATAGTGAAATTTGCAGGGTTTGAATAATTTATATTTGCATGTGATTTGACTGCTTTGCTTCTCTATAATTCTGAAAAGCTATGTGCAATTTTTTTCATGTATATCATCAAGAAAGAATCACATGATTTTTTTTCATTGTAATGTAATTTGGTATAAATCACAGTAAGCACAAAGTGCACATACCCTGAACAGGTGCAGCTAGTGGTTTTTCCTTCTGAACTTTTTCTTGGTTTATTCTAAACTCACTCAAAATCATGCATTTACTTACTAGTTAATAAATTTTTCTCTTCTTCTTAGCTTTCTGCTTGCTTTAAGAACAATGAGACCACAAGGATAAATTGTACTTTGGTCACTTTGGGAGTGATAGGGTTGAATCATGGGGTGGTTGTTATCATTCTTTCAAATTGTTTTTTGTCATTTAATAGTTATATGTTGGCCTATCAAAAAGGAGTGGTTTGTATGAGAAACTATTTTTTTATGCAAGATCTTGAACTACCTTGTTTAAGTGTAAAACTATCTCTTATTTCAACCTTTTAACTCCTAAGGGTGAGTAGCATGATGAGAAGAAGAAAGAAAATGATCACCAACATAAGAAGCTCTTTATTGTTAAAAAAATTCTCTTGGTCAGCACTTTAGGAAATGTAAAGAAAAAAGTATGGAGGATATGAATACTGACATTAAGTGTAAAGGGATAAAAACAACTGAAGATAAAATTACAAAAAAGGATTGTTTTTTTCTCCTCTTTGTTTGGTAGAAGTGGAACTTGGACATGAGGAGGCAGTCACTAGAAGTCTTGATTCAGCTGTTAATCTGACACTCCAAGGACTTCACAAGTTTACAAGAAATAGACCAGTCAATCACGAAACACCAACAGTAACACAACCTGCTACTGAAGAAACAAGCAAAGGTACCTTGCTTTGGCAAGCTGTTTCTTTAGACATAGTAAATCAAAGTTGAAATGTTAATTTGACTGAAAATACAAACAGATGATAATTTGATAAAACATTACATTAGGAAAGATGGTATTTTTTGACAAAGAAATGAGACAAAAATTTTGTCACAAGTGTGGAACAAATGTTTTTCATTTTCTTTTATCAATGTCTGAACTTAGAATTTATCATCCTCTTCAAAATTTAGTCAGGATGCAGAACCCTTATCACCAGTGTACCAAGTTTGTGGCCTAATTACAATGAGTGGCCAAAGTAATTGGTCCATCTCCCCTTTGTAGGTAGTTCAGACAACACTACACTCAACCCAAATAAACACAAGTCTTTTAAATGAAATCTTAAATCTGTAATAAGTTACTTTAAAGTACTCCTTTTTCCCCTGAATAACTTGGGGAAATGAAATTCAAACACTAGTTTAGCATGCTAAGACTTTTGCCACTCATTGTTACTAATGAGATCTCTGTGGCTTAGTTGGTGGAACATGCAGTTGAAAAAATCAGCACTGGCTAGGTTACAAACCCTCATGACTTACTCTGACCAACATTTTAAAAACATCTTTCTGTTTTGATGACCAAGCTCAAAATTTGTCCATTTTCTCATTTTCCCTAAAAGCAGATGTTTACATCTAAATTGCTTCCAAACCTACTGAGAACTGTGACCCCTTATTACTGTTAAGGAAATAGTGACCACTAATACTATGTTGTGCTTTAATAGGTTTGGGAGAAAGACTTAAGAGGCCAGCACCAAAAACTTCAGAAACTTCGAAAAACTTCATCAAAAAGAAACCCACTGTTTCATGTGTGTCATGTGATCAGGATCTGTCATCACAATCCATATTTCACCTGCCATGCCAGCACATTATGTGTCGATCATGTCTCCTGAAAGAAACAGAGCAAAGTGACAATAACAGCACATGCAAGCTGTGTAAAACAACATATAGGCGAACGAATGTCGTTCGAGTTCATAATGTCTGACAATCCTTTTCCCTAAAGGGATTATAATACAATGGTTGCTGCATTATGTGATCAGAGTTGGTGAAAAGTAAGATTCTTTCTTGACAGGCCATTATTAATATTATGTTATCTGTCAGAACTGTCCAGTCAGAGAAGTCAATTTCTAAATTTTAACCCCCCCCACCCCAAAAAAGAAAAAAAAAAAAAAAAAAAGCTCTAAACAGAATTATTTACATGTGGCCCAGTCTGAAAGAAGACGGAAGCCTGTACAAAGCGACTGAGAAAATAACCTTTCCTTGCAATGTCAATACAATATCAAACAGACAAGTGATGGGAATTAAAAAAAAATCAGTTGAGGGATTGTTAGCTGATCTGATACTAAATTCTCCAAACTTGCATCATAAGAACTGTATGGCAGAAAGTAAGGAGAATTACTAATAAATCTTGGGAGTGAAAGGATTAAAGAAAACATACATACTGTAGTTTCCTCTAATGTAATGTTATGCAGGTTTCGTAAATTAGTCCACAAAATTGTCTATAATTCTTCCAGAGCTGTTGAGACACTTTAGGACTTTGTTTCTCCTTTCTACTGAAACAAACATTGCTAAAATTTTGACTCTGAACATATGAAAATCGTGTATGTGAATTGCGGTTTTTAAGGAATGAATATGAAAGCGATCTCCGCAGTAATGAACACAACCGACTTAAGCAGTAGTGGATTCAAGGCCTGAAAAAAAGTCATGAATTTTTTTCAGGTTTTATTTTCACTACTGCTTAAGTCGGTTGTGTTCATTACTGCGGAGATCGCTTTCACATTCATTACCAAAATTTTGCCCAGTGGATTTCCAAATAAAAGAGATATAGTAATGTTTCTGTAAGTTTTCCAATACAGCTTTGAATTTCGATAATGGTCTGTTGGTTGGTAGAAAACTACGGCGCGAGACAAACTGGCCTCGCCGGTGTGGAAACAGATAACCAGGATAACCTATGACGCGTCTGGCCATGAACCGTAACACGAACAAGTTAAATCAATGAACACATGGCAGCATGGCAGCGGTCTTCAACATCATATGTAACGCGTTTTTTAATCATTGCGAGGGAAATAAACGGCAGCAGACGTTTCGAACTTGACTTATGATTGATGAACAGGTGTACGTGAAGGCTGCTGAACAATCTTGATCTCGTGTGTGGGTTAGCTTTAGACCTTGCCTATTCTGGGTTTATTTTTAAGCCCTGAACTTACAGTCGAGCTAATCAAAGTGCATCCGACCGGAAGAATTAAAATAAAGTGTGGAGCTGTAGTGACCATATTTTCGACAAAAAAATAAACCGAGTGCGACCTGGCAATTAACAGCATAGTTAGGTTCCTGGAGTTATTTAACAAAATGTTGTTAGTCACGTGTTCTGTGTTGCCAGCTTAAAATATTAAAAGCCTTAGGAAACCAATGCAATAATTGACTTTAATTGATCCCTTTTGATTGTAGCGTGATTAATGATAGTTTTTTTGTCAGACTCCACATATGCATACCTTATTGTATCTCAATTAATTTCGCTCCAATTACTGCACTTTTTTAGGTTATCGTAAATTGAAGAAAACCACAAAATATAAACACGGGAAGCATGAGGATCACTATGGAGGTCACACTTAACAAAGAGGGAACGAAAATGGACAAGGATGGAAAAGATTTACTAGGACTGTGAATGACATCTTGAAAAAATGTCGCCCAAAATAATCTCTCAGAATGCACCAACCGTGAAGTAGCTCTTTAACCCTTAGCTTATAACAAATGAGTATTCCTCTTTTGGATCTTCTTTATTTTCCCTTTAAATTGATTAGGAGAGTTTAGCTGAAAGATTTTTTATCCTCATCTCTTACATGCTGGATTTATTGAAATGCGAGGAGATGTTACACGTCAAATAGTTATGTGAGTTCAGGGGGGTTTCACAGCCTTGTTTAGGTGTTAAATTAAGTGCTCCTCTTCAAACAGACAGATATTATTATTCTGACATACCTAGGAACGATAAATCTAAAAAGAGACAAATGTTTCAAAGAAGATGATTCGCACGATCATCTGTACTGATCTGTAGATAATAGGGAAGAAATGTCATGGGGAAGAAATAAAGAGCGCTTTAGTTCGTATCCAGGACCATGCTGATGAGCCTGCGGAAAGCTAGGTCATTTGCCAGTCAATTTTGTGAAGAGGAAGTCGCTCTCCATTCTCACAAAGGCGCGCCGAAGATGATTTACATTCTATAAGAGAACAATAAAAGCACTTAGGAACATAGCCAGAGGCAAGAGAGCATAAGTGCTATCTTACCAAAGGTTAGATTTAGCAGTAAGACTAGATCTACTCTATAGTGTATGTGCGGTTGTGTCTTAGCAAGAATTAAGGAGAATTAAAAAGAAAAATACTCTACTGAGACAATTAAAGACAAAGATTTGATCAAAATTTTAACGGGAACCTTGATGATCATTAGCTGTTGAATCAAACATGTTTAGCTTTGTGACCGCCAACATGAGAAAAATGTAATTCAGGAAAAGAACGGGAGAGATTAACTGTAAGAAGAACTGTAACAATAAATCACCATTCCTAAAAGCCAATTATCCGAATTAAGATGTTTCAGAAAAAAGACTCAAGTCCTCTTCGTGGCTGGGACAGGCATTCAGTTAAATCTGCAGCTTGTTAGCGCGATTGTGGTAATTGATAAATGGCCGGCTTCCTCCAAATCGCGGCACTTCCTTCTCAAGCTGCACGCATTCAGTGTTAATTCTCAGTTGGTATTGAAGAAAACCAATGAACGTGCGTCTATTTTGTGATGACTGATAACCGTTTTATAATTGTGACACAATAGCTCGAAATTATCCCCTTTCTTCGCCAGTAGGAAGGGATAACGACATGATCCCTTTAATGTTCACCATCATGTTATCCTCGCCAATTGAAAAATATCATTAGTACTCAAGAATATCAGATGGCGACCAAGATAAGCTGTAGCGCCCAATTTATCTTTACATTCTCATTTCCTAAGTCGTCAACTCCCTTGCAAGTGATACGGCTGTTATCTCCCGAATAGCTAGTACATAACAATAACGCCAGTTAAATTGCTTTCAGAAAGCATCGGTATATTAGATACAAAAGAGAGGCGATTTCGCGTACTCGTTGTGATTGGAATATCTCCATTATTTGCTGATAACATCGATTTCAGGTGAGATAACTGTTTTGTAGTTTTAGCTCGACAAATATGATACACTTGGCGGTAGAACAGTTTTGGCTATATCTAATGATGGTGATCGAATATACTGCGTGTTTAGTTATGGTTAACTAACTACTTAAAGGTAAACATGCTGAATCCATAATCTCTCATCTTCTGAATAGTTGCCATTCTCTTAAATAATGAAAGGATGGATGAATTTGTAATCGCAAGTGTTTTCAATTTACTGATATCTTAGATTTCTCTCAGTAAAAATAAAAAAGACAGACAAGAAATAACTAAAAAAATTACAAAAAGTCATAATTAAAAAAAAAACATGATCGAGGATATTCCCAACGAACACCGCCTGTCAGAAATATTTCACGAATGTGACTTTCTGTCGTAAGTAGCGTATTACCGCACTGTAAACTTTTATTGATAACTAGATCGTCGCGTGCTCAGAAATGATGGTCGTCGCGTCACAGCATAACAAAATTGTGGCATGAATTGACAAAACAAAAAACGACGCCTGCTCTTGTCCAACTGGAAGTGAAATAACCCCATTAAACGATCGTAATTAATTCAGAAGTAACACAGTTTTTTGTATCTTTTTGAAGAGTCACCCCTATACTTTCTCATTTCCTCGCCAATGTAAGATAACACAGATATGTTGTGGTACTACATTACTTTTTATTTCAAATCTAGTGTTGGCATAAACTGCGGTTTTCAAAACCTGATTATCGTGGGCCTCGAACCACGTTAAGTTCTAAAACCCCAATTGACAGAGACCAATATATTGCGAAACCACTTGAGAGAAACAACTTTCTGCAGTGACGTCAACGGATCAACGGAAGAGGTTCTGTTGTGGTTAACCTGCCCGAATAACGCAAAGCCACGATTAATGCCTTAAATTACATAGCAAGTCTAGCCGGAACGTTGAAAACTAAATATAATTCTGAATGCTGCGGGTGTTTTGAGCTGTAAATGGCTGGAGTATTTTCGTTATTGAGCACGTTTCCCGTTAAATTCAGAAAGGATAAAACCTCAATTCTACCTTGCGTTAGAAAAATTTGTCTTTTTAATAACGAAAAGAAAAGAGAAATTATAGTTTGAATGTCACTTCATCGCCAACCCCGTTAAGAAAGAACTTTCCAGCTGTTAGAGTACTGAACATTCGCAGCCTTTTATTTAGGTCGGGATTCTCCCTTTGAAAAAGCAATTGAATATTGTTAACATACTGTCAAATCATATCTTTGCCTTTAATCTTGGTGTCTTAGTGAGCTGTAAGAAAGCAAATGAAGCATGACTGCACAAGACTCTTGACAAGTTCACGAACGATTTTGTCACGCGCGATTTTGTCACGCGCAATTTTGTCACGACAAATGTTAGCGAAACCGCAGTTTTCCACCAAAATAATCAAAGTGGTCAGATAGCTCTTTCAATGATAGTCTCTGGTAGAAGTCTCGAGGATTTTGTTACATTCAAGCATCAAATGATCTTAAAGGACATCGAGGTGGGAAATCGTAATGTTTACAGATTGAACTTACATCACATTCCTTGGCCATTTCACGTAACTTGCTATCTCGCGCAAATTATAACATTCTTTGCTCTAACCACTAAAAATTGTTGACTGATTTGTACGCATATGTAAGTTTCTGACAGCTACGACGCCCATTAAACTGATGAGAGGTCACAGACCACAATTATTTTCAAAATGCATGACGGAGAACTTACTCTTAAATTATCGCTGAACAAATATTTTGCTAGAAAAAACTGAGAGAAAGGGAGAAATCACAAAATACAGAGTGGACCGCGGGAAACTTTATTTCAATTTTCTTTTTCTATCGGATGTTTTCGAAATTTCAAGCTTTAGGAAATCAGTTTGACGAGGTAAAAACGCTTTGACGGAGAAAGAAGAGCAGAGTATTGACAGAACAGCGATCAAGTTTCGTCTTTCCTCTTCCTTCCTTCTCCTATATCAAAAGACATACATCAAATTCTT